ATCTTTCTCTGATAAAGGTCTCATTTCTCAAATATATAGGGAACTGAGCCATAATTATAAAAATAAGAGCCATTCCCCAATTCATAAATGGTCAAAGGCAATTTTCAGAAGAAGAAATAGTCACATGAAAAAATGCTCTACAGTACTAATAAATAGAGAAATGCAAATTAAAATAACTCTGAGGTATCACCCCATACCCATCAGAGTGAATGAGAGTCAGTTTGGCCTGTGGAAGGGAGTGTCAGGAGTTCAGGAGCCTTAGCAATTTGTGTGTGAGTGTGGAGGAGGAACAGTGAGGCCGTGAATGGGAAAGGATTTGACGGGAACCAGTGTGGTTTATTCTTTGTTTTCGAAGAGGACCAATGGCATCATGATGTTGAGGTAAAATATTGGATGATGGGTGATGTCTTGACTTGTGCATGAATTGGATTTAAGTAAGGCAGAGCCTCACTATCTCTTCTAGAGCCATTGAAGTCCAGTGGTAAGGCAAAAGTCAGGATGACTGGTGATGGCCCAGGGTGGAGTGGATGACCTTGGCATCTTCAATGTCTGACCAAGCTCTAAGTGCTCCACAGCACCTGCTTCAGCTACCTCCATGGCCACTGGAACACATTGTTCTCATCCACCCATTACTCTAGGGGAAGTCATCACATGCTTGGGGTAGACATCCCCCTAATGCACCTATAGAAGTGATTTAGAAGAATTGAATGAGTCTGAGAAGATATAGAATGAGCTTAAGGCAGGGGGTATTGGAAGGCTTAATAGGAAAACTAATTCAATTCTAAATTTGAATATCTGGTTCTAAGCTTCTTGTAACACCTGTAAGGGATGAAAGTGGGACAAGGAGAGCCAACACACACAGTGTGTGCGAGAATAGCATGAATGGACCTACCAACCATGCATATTAATTATACTTAATACTTGTGTAACTTAAGGCAAAGTGAGTCACTTAACTGATTTTGCCACAGTTTCTTCATCTATAAAATTAGGAGATTGGACTAAATGGCTGGAAGATGCCTCCCAGCTCTGGACCTATAATCCTATGAGCCTATGAAGATAATTAATTTACTATTGAAAGTTCTGAATTCCAGTTCCCATCAGTACTTACCTTGCTCTCCACCATTTTGTATTACAGTAAGGAGCTTCCCAACCTAATCAGTTTGACCATTTGCCAGGTATATTAAAGTGGAGATTTCTTTCATGAAGAAGCTCGATTTATTGGCTGCTGAGATTTCTTCCTACTGTCAAATTATTTGATTCTGTGACCCAGGGTGAGTCCTTCTTGGATATGAATGGCTGCCTAATAAGTGATGACTTCATGCTTTTCCTCCCATAACAGTTTTTAAATTCTGTCTCAATCTTGACTTTTTGGATCCCTTTCATAATGTTAATTAATCTGGATACATCCTTTTTCCTTCTTCTGCAGTTTTTCTGTGAAGAACAGCTGTTCAATCCTAAAAGTTTCAATTAGTCTGGGGGTATTCTTTTCCATGAATGTACATGGTTATTTAGAACTCCCTTATAAACCCTCTCTTGTTTAATTACCTAAAAGCTGGCACTATCATATGAAGTTAAGAGGCTAGGGAAAGAGCAACATAGTAGAGAAGAGGTATGGGATATCAGAGGGTAAAGAATGAATGCAATGGCAGAGCAGTGACTAAGGGAGTGAACCCCAAGCCCTTTCCCTTTCTGGAGTCCTATCAAGAAAAATACTGTGATAGTCAATGACTATAGTAATCTACTGTTTGATAAACCCAAAGACCCCAGCTTCTGGGATAAGAACTCAGTATTTGACAAAAACTGCTGGGAAAACTGGAAAAGCGTATGGCAGAAACTAGGCATAGACCAACACCTTATACCATATACTGAGATAAAGACAAAATGGGTTCATGATTTAGATATAAAGTCTGATACTGTAAGCAAACTGAGACAGCAAGGAATAGTTCACCTGTCAGATTTATGGAGGATGGAAGAATTTATGACCAAACAGGAGATAGAGAGCATTATTAAATGCAAAATGGGTAATTTTGATTATATTGAACTGAAAAGTTTTTGGACAAACCAATGCAACCAAGATTAGGAAGGAAGCAGAAAACTGGGAAAGAATTTTTACTACCAGTATCTCTGATAAGGCCCTGGTTTTTCAAATATATAGAGAACTAAGTCAAATTTATAAGAATACAAGTCATTCTCCAATTGATAAATGGTCAAAGGATATGAACAAGAAGTTTTCAGATGAAGAAATTAAAGGCATCTATAGTCATATGAAAAAATGCTCCAAATCACTATTGATTTGAGAAATGCAAATCAAAACAACTCTGAGGTACCACATCACACCTATCAGATTGGCCAACATGACAAAACAGGAAAATGATAAATGCTGGAGAAGATGTGAGAAATTTGGAACACTAATGCATTGTTGGTAGAGTTGTGAACTGATACAACCATTTTGGAGAGCAATTTGGAACTATGCCCAAAGGGCTATAAAAATGTGCATAGCTTTTGACCCAGCAATAGCACGTTTAGGGCTGTATCCCAAAGAGATTATAAAAATGGGAAAAGGATACACATGTACAAAAATATTTCTAGCAGCTCTTTCTGTGGTGGCAAAGAATTGGAAATTGAGGAAATGCCCATCAATTGAGGAAAGGCTGAACAAGTTGTGGTATATGAATGTAATGGAATACTATTGTGCTATAAGAAATAATGAGCAGCTGGACCTCAGAAAAACCTGGAAAGACTTGTATGGACTGATGCTGAGTGAAGTGAGCAGAACCAGGAGAACATTGTACACAGTAATAGCCATGGTGTTCAATGACTAACTTTGATAGACTTAGCCTTCTCAACAATGCAAGGATCTAAGACATCTCCAAAAGTCTCATGATAGAAAATGATATCCACATCCAGAAAAAGTACCATGGAGTTTCAATGTTGATTGAAGCATACTATTTGCTCTTTTTTTTTCTTCTGATTTGTTTTGCTTCCTCTTTCTTGTGGTTCCTCCTATTAGTTCTAATTTTTCCTTACAACATGACTAATGTGAAAATATATTTAATAGGAATGTATATGTAGAGCCTATATCAGATTGCACACAGTCTTGGGGAGGGAGGGGGGAGGGAGGGGGAGAAAAATTTAAAACTCAAAAATGTATGGAAGTGATTGTTAAAAACTAAAAATAAATTAAAAATAAAAAAAAAAGAATAATACTGTGAGTCGTAGGAGAAGACTAAGTCCCCAAGGAGAGTGATGGTTTTCTTCAAGGGGAAAATTTCTCAATTCTTTTGGCCTTGACTGTATTTTCTGTATCCTTTACTTCTAAATAAAACTCTTTGATATTTTGAAACCTTGTGAGCCCAAGTGCTTATAAGGGGAGTTGGTGGCTACTTGTGGGTTAGCATCTGCCAGATATTGAAGTTCCCAGTTCCATCCAGATGGGAGCAACAAGTCAGGCAAGTGAGAGTGTCAGAAGGAATTCTCTGACACAAGAGTTATAGAAATACATACAAGAAATATTTACATAATTTTTAGATGAGAATGTCATGATAAGTTATTGAGGGAAACTAGGTTGTTTGGGAGATGTCCCTAATATTTAGAGATTTATACCAAGAGTTAAACTGTTTCCTCCCACAATATGTCCATTGGTGCCCCTGTCAGGATAGGGTGCTAGTCTGGCAAAAACAGTCATTGATTAAATTGGTTATGGCAATACCATTGTCATTAAGCCTGCCTGGAAGCAGTAGGCTGAACTTTCCCTATCTGTCAAATGAGGCAGTGGGACACAAGATAAAGAGTTAGGAACTTAAGAGTTACAGGATCTGAATTCAAATCCCAGCTCTGTCACTTAACTACCTTAGATCTTGGACAAGTTTTCTAAGGTCTCTTCCAGCCTAGATCTGTGATCTTATGAGATAATCTCACAAAGTTGTTGTGAGGGTAATGTGAGATAATAGATGTGAAATTTAGAGCTCTAGACAAATGTGAGGGGAGGGAGAGAAAGGCATTATTACAGACTTTGAGTAGGAAGAGACATAAGAGTCCAGGTTCCATTTTAACTATCATTGATTTTAATTAGTAACATTAATAGTAAGTATAGTTGCCTTCCAGTTCAAAGAGTCTATGATCTCCTCCCTCCAGAGCCCAGCACAATGCCTGGCAGTTGAGAAATGCTTTTTGATTGATTGTCCAGGCTTATCTAGCAGAGATCCATCTTTGTTATGGATGCATAACTTTCTCCAAGTCATTAATATTGGGCAGTACTAACTCTGTAAACAAGTGTCTTCCCACCCAACAGTCTTTACTCTCCCAGTCACTGCTTTTACAATTCAGGCAGCTCCTGAGTTCCCAAGCTCATCTATGAGGGACATCATAGAGTAGTAAATTAAGCTTTGTGTTTGGAGATAAAAAGACCTGGGTTCAAATTAATCAATCAATAAACTTTTTTTAACGGCCTGCTATATGCCAGGCATTGTGTTGGAGGATACAAAAAGAGGGAAAAGACAGTTCCTGCCCTCAAGGAGCTTATAGTCTGATGGAGGAGACAACGTGCAAACAAATATATACAAAGCAAGCTATATACAGGAGAAATAGGAAGAAAAAATAACGGAGGAAAGGCACTGGAACTAAGAGGCGTTAGGGAAGGCTTCTTGTAGAAAGTGGGATTACTTAGAGAAAGCCAGGGAAGTTAAATCGCGTACTTCTGATATTTAGTAGCTTTGTGATAGTGGGCAAGTCAGTTAACACCTCTCCCAGCTCCAGTTTTCTCATCTGCAAAATGGGCCTAATAAAACCTGTATTATCCATCTGGCCAAACGTCTTAACCAACTCCCACTGTTTCCTCCAGCGCACTGGCCCTGGCAAGCAGCACCCACTACTTGGGCGCCTTTCCAGCTACTTCAAGGTGGAGCCGCTGGTGGCCAGCAGACAGACACCTGCCACCGACTCATTCCACCAGACAGCCACCAACCAGCAGAGTGAGCGATTCAAATTCAGGGAGAGGGAGGCAGCTGCACACTTGCCTGGCTCCTGGGGCGCGGTGTTGGAGCGAGGGGGGGAAGGAAGGAGGGAGAGCGGGCCCGCCCTTTTCCCCCTTTCCCAAGGCTCTCCAGCCAGCGCAGTCCTTTAAATCCCCTGGCGCTCCCCAAGTCAGCTCTGAAGGGGTGGAGACTCCGCTCGGGGCCCGAGCCAGAGCAGGAGCGAGAGCAGGAGCCCGGATCTGCTCGCTCGTCTCAGGTCAGCGAGTGGCCCAAGGTCCGGGACATCCACGTGGGGGGGGGGGGGGGGGAGGTCACCTCCTGGTGCCTCTGCCCGAGCCGGAGCCAGGGACAATTGTCCCAGACCAGAAGAACCCAGAGGCCCCCCACTGCTGCTGTCCTTGCGCCACCCTAAGGAGGGGAGCGGGAGCCAGGTTCCCGTGCCCCTGGCCCATCTCTGGGGCACCCCGGCTGCTCCCCAGACTCATGCCTGGTAAGTGCCCTGGCAGGTCTCCAAACTGAGGGACCACATTAGGAGGCGCCTGCCATCTGGGGATGCTTTTAAGGAGGCGGGGGGACAGGGACCCTCCCCACTCTGTGTTTCCCCCACTTTGCTGCCTTGGGGTTTGGTAGAAGGCACTTGTTCCTGAAGGCCACAGGGGGTGCCTGCGGGGCTTGTCGGGGTAGCGCCCAGTCCCACTCTCAACCTTGGAGCGGGGAGCCTCTCCTCCCCTCCCCCGGGGACCCTGGGCCTGCTTGGCCTTGGGGTTTGTGTTCGGGGCCACCCAAATGTGACTGTAGGAGTGCAACAGCTGGGGAGGGCGGCCTGGTAGGGACCTGGGAAGGGGGTCTGGTTGGAAGAAAAGTTGTATTTGTGAGCTCACACATCCCTCTTGTAAGAAGGGGACTCAGCAGAACCCAGCGGATTTCTACTATCCTTGCGGCTGCTCCAGCATGTGAGACAATAAAGAGGGATTCAGAGAATCTCCTATTCCCACAGGTGTCGGAACTAGATGAAATGTCACAAGTTGGTCTTCCTTACTTCTCCAGGTCAGAGCCACTTGGAGGGTGACTGAGGAAGGAAATAAGCATGTAAGCCCCTACTATGTGCTGGGCACTGTGCTAAAAGCTATACAACTATGACCTCACTTAAGCCTCATAATAACTCTAGGAGATGGGTTAATATTACAGCTGAGGAAATTGAGGCAGAGGTTAAGTGATTTGCCCAGGGTCAGGCAGCTAGTGAGGGAGGATTTAAACTCAAGTCTTCCTGACTCCAGGACCAGTCTTCTTTCTACTGTGCTGAGACTTCTATGGGTAGCAGGTTTTCCAGATGCCAATTGGAATCAGTCTGGCAAGAGCTTGACATTGTTGCCTGGGGCAGGAAGGGCAGATGTGGTTTGGGGTGAGGGCTGGTGGTATGTTAACAGATTTATTGTCTAAGAAATAGAAATCAGCCCCTTCTCCAGGAATGATTCCTTTGGCCTGGTATTAGAACCAGGAAAGGATGGTGTGTGTGTCTGTGTGTGTGTGTGTCTGTGTGCCTGTGTCTATGTGTCTGAGTCTGTGTCTGTTTGTTTCTATGAGAAACTGGGGGCTCCAGAAAGAACAAGATTTTGTCATATCAAAACAAAGTAGCAGCCTTGCTAGTGCAAGACAGCCAGTGTTAGACATTGCCACCCACCCTGGAGAATAGTTTGTGCCAAGAAAATGGGAAATGTATGAATGCTTATTTGCCTATAGCTAATGTTCTGTGACTGGGGAGTACCTCGAGTTTATATAGTCCTTTACAGAAATCAAAAATTTTCATCACAACAGGTCTGCAAGGTAAGTAGAATAAATAGAATCCCCCATTTGAGTAATGAAGAAACTGAGGCCCCAAGGGGTCAAGATAATGTGGAGAGTATGTAATGGAGCTCTGACTTGAACCCACCCATTAAGAGTCTGAATTCAGTCTTCTTTCCATTGCAACTTGTCTTGTATTTCTTTCTTTCTAAAGTGGATTGAATCCTTTGGGAGAAGCTTCTGATTTAAGCCCAGGAGAGAAGTAATCTGGGTTGGGAGCTTTCTTGATTTGAGGAAAGGAAAAGGAAGGGGTGTTTTGATTGGTGGGTGTGCCTGTAAAAACAGAAAGGCAGAAAATTAAGTCTAAGTTCATTTTCATAGCAATTTCTGAGTCAGGAACAAACTGCATACAGGGAGGCCGTTCTATGTTCTATGCATTTTTGTAATGTCAGCACGAAGTAGAGTGTTTTGCACATAGTAGGCACTTAATAGTCAGCAATTTGAAAGTGATTTAGGGTTTGTAAAATGCTTTACATAGGTTATCTTATTTGGTCCTCACAACAGCCCTGTAAGGTTGATGCTATTCTTATCTTTGTTTTACAGATGACGAAACCAAGGCTGAGAAATTAAGTGACTTGTCTGGGGGTACACAGTTAGTAAATGTCAGAGGCAGGATTTTAATTCGATTTTTCCTAACTCTATCTCAGCACGCTATCCACTGCACCACCTGGATTAATCAATGTTTGCTGCAGTTGCTTATGCATAATTCGGTTTCTTTCTTCCTATTTTCTTCCTATTATTTCTTCCTATTAGCAATTTCAGGGCCACTTGGAGTGCAGGGAGATAAGGGCCATTTGTAGCCCAGGCACTAATTCCTTGTCTAGCCAGTAGGTGTTAGAGGGAGGACGTGAAAGCAGGTCTTGGCTCGAAGGTCAGCCTCTCCATCTACTATACCACACTGCCTCTCGTAATCACTAGGAATCATATCCTACCAGGCATTGTGTTGAGTTCTTGGTAGTAACTTCCCCACAAAGGGAAAGAAACCCACAGCCAAGGATGAGCTTCTGTGTTCTGCCTGGATTTGTAATTCCTTTAAATTCCAGTCATTGATTATCTGAGTATGTTCTTTGTGCCCCCCCCCAAGCTTTTTCCTCTGTGGCCTTCACATAACCATATTTCCTGCTTCCTGTGACTCAGAAGGCACTGTTAAGGGCTTTGGGGGGATAGTTTTTTGGGAATCTTGTTTGATTTTTTTTTTTTTTGCTTCCCTTCTACTTGAAGTCCCGCCCTCTGCTTAGCAACTTGGTGGCAAGGGTGTGTGTGTGTGTGTGTGTGTGTGTGTGTGTGTGTAGGAAGGAGGGGGCTGGGTGCTAGAGACATGGGAGGGGGCAGCTACGTGGCACAGTGGATAGAGCACCAGCCCTGAAGTCAGGAGGACCTGAGTTCAAATCCAGCCTCAGACCAAACACTTGACACTTACTAACTGTGACCCTGGGCAAGTCACTTAACCCCAATTGCCTTAAAAAAAAAAAAAAGAAAAAAAGAGAGACATGGGAGAAGGTAGGGAGGAAGGGTCAAACTAGGATGAAACTGAATCAAGGGACAGTATTTGAGCTTAAGGAAATGGAATCTCAGAGCTACTTGCTATTCCCCGGCTTCCCCAGGATATGAAGGTGAAGGAAGCCTCTCCATTTGCTTTTCTGTAAAAGTGAGTGCTGCCTGATTCTTTGTGGCCCCAGAACAGGGAACCATAGTGGCCGGTGGAGTGATTGCAGGACTGCTCTTGCTGGTTCTGATTGGGATCATGGGGTACTGTCTCTGGAAGAAGCTGTGCGTTGCCCCTGCCTATGAGGAGCTGAATGGAATGCCATCCCCGGCTGGTGAACAGGAGAAGCAGCCTTCCCAGTCAGCAGTGATCCAACCCAACAGGTGAATGATCTTCAGCCCTCCTACTGGCATGGGAAGGGAGAGGCCAAGGGAGGAGGGAAGGAAGACTGAATAAGCCGGCCAACGGAAGTGGGCGGGGCTCTCTCCGATCTGTTGCAGTGGATTTTTCCTTCTAGTAATCCGATTTGTTTTGGGGCTTTGGCATTTCCCCCTAAAAGATGAAGTCTTGGGTGTGAAGAATATAGAGATTTGCCTCTATTTCTGAACAAATGAAAGGAAAAAAAGCATTTATTAAGTACTTACTGTGTGCCAAGCCCTAGGAATAGGCAGAGGAAAATAAGAGAGTCTCTTGTTTTCAAGTAGCTCACACTCTAATTGGGGGAAACAAAATATTTATACGAGAGTTGGTGGCAAGATTCAAGGGTTCTTGGAGCATCAGCAAGTCAGATGGCAGTTTTGGTCTGAAGAGTCTGGAGGGTGTAGTAATAATAATAATAATAATAATGGTAACCATCATTTATTTGCTTAGTGCCAGTCATGCTAAGTGCTTTACAAATATCTCATTTGAAACTCACAACAACCTTGGGGGCAGGTGCTATTATGCAATTAAGGAAACTGAGGTTAAGTGACTTGTCCAAGATTACAGATATTAAGTGTCTGCAGTTGGATTTGAACTCAGGCCTTCCTGATTCCAGGCCTTGTGCTCTATCCATTGTACCACCAGCTGCCCCAGTGGGGGGAGGGGGCAGCTGGTCAGGCCTAAAGGTCCTTGTCTTTGATTTTACTTGTAAAGACCCTGAAGGAGAATTTGTACTCCCTTTATACATTTATTTCTTCCAGGGCATCTTTATCCTTCCTCCTCGGTCCCATTCTTGTTTCATGGGCCTGTTCCCACACTTGCCTTCTTTTATTCTGGTCATTTCATTTCTTCTGTCTTTACTTGCTTTTATAAACAGGACCCAAGGCATCCCATTTGTTGTTCCTCCCTCCTTCCATGGCCGGGATTGGATTACTCTGACCAATGGAGAGAAGATCCAGGATGAGAGTGATCCCTATGTTGCCCCAGAATTCTTGCCTCGATCATCTTTTCATTCACTTGGTGAGTAGACCGCACGTAGGCTCTACTCATTCGATAGACATTTATTATGTTCCTTCTGTATACTGAATTCTTTGATGGTGGTGGGATAGATATAAAGTTTAGATCCGATGAGGTCCCTATCCTCATGGACTTTGTCTAATAAAGTGATAAGACACAGACAAATTAACTATAATACAAAATTTTTCATGAAAAATACGTTAGAGGGGCAGCTAAGTGGTGCAGTGGATAAAGTACCAGCCCTGGATTCAGGAGGACCTGAGTTCAAATCTGGCCTCAGACACATAACACTTACTAGCTGTGTGATCCTGGGCAAGTCACTTAACTCCCATTGCCCAACCAAAACAAAACAAAACATTAGAGTTATCAAAGTGCTATTGATTGTCCAAAGGGGGAAGATCATAATTACTCAGCCTAGAGATTAGAGGGAGCTTCATGGAGGAGGAAGAGTTTGATTTGGGCCTTAAAGACTAGATAGGCATCCACAAGGTGAAGAGAGCAAGAGCATTCCAGGCACTGGGAACAAAGCAGACTAAGACACAGAGGTGGCAGAGCACGGTATGTTTTGGTGGGGTTTGGGGACGGAGGTGGGCAAAGAGTTACCCTATTTGGCTGGAGTATACAGTGCATAGAAGGGCATAATAGAAAGGGCTGGGGGGCAACTCGGTGGCACAGTGGATAGAGCACTGGCCCTGAAGTCAGGAGAACCTGAGTTCAATTCTGGCCTCAGACCAAATACTTGACACTTACTAGCTGTGGGACCTTGGGCAATTCACTTAACCCCAAATGCCAAAAAAAAAAAAGAGAGAGAAAGGGCTGGAAAGGTTCTGGATCCCAGGACTAATAAGATGTAGTAGTGGATATTTCCTTAGATTCTCATGATCTTTCAAATTTCTCCAAATTAAGAGTTATACCCAAGAGAGAAAGCAATTTTACCTATTTCCAGGGTCTAAGATACCAAGAACCCTAAGGGGGAAACAAACTGATAAACTAATAGCAAAGAAAGCTAATCCTTAATTGCTAACCCCCTCCCCCACTGGCTGCCATGCTCTGGCAGGGCTGCACAAGCTGATTCACAGTCTTGCAACAGAAATAAACTCTACCCCACAATCTCTGTACCTTGGGAAGCCAACAGGCAGAAGTTTTCCCGGCTGGGACTGTGTGTGTGGCAGCACTGTGTGCTGGAACAATACCCAGGGCACTGATGAACATGGGGAACTAGGACAGGATGTTGGAGTGTATGGCTCTACTGGGCTTGAAGGAAAGGGGACTGGCCCCAGAAGACACTTGGGGCACAGATGAAGTCTGGTACAATATGAATTGCCCATTCACATTTTGAGGTCGAGACAGCTTTGAAGTCCGGTCACCTGGGGAAACTATCATCAGAGGGGAAGGAATCATAAAGTGAGCAGTGAAGGGATATAAGGAAAAAAGATTAAAATTAAGACATCTAAGAAAAATGTGGTGAAGCAAAGGAAAACGAATCAACACTGAGGGCAGATGATCCTGTGGATTCTCAAGAGAGCATGAATCCCACTGGGATACCCTTGAATGCTTTAAGAGAGAAATAAGAATTCGGAAAGCAGAATTTTTGGCCAGCATGGCAGAAGTAATTGTCAGAACAGAAAAATATAAATCCATGGTGGTAAACCACCACAGAAATAAAAGAGAAAGTGACAGATGGGGAATGAAAATACGTAGAAATGAGGGACAATCTGAGAGAAGAGAAGCAAAAGCCACTCACATTAAAATAAAACATGACTTCTATACAACACACATCAAAAAGAGGAATGCACAGAGACAACCAAAGGACCACAGGTCTTCCAGAAGCATACACCAGTGCAAAAACCTGAACAACATAAAGCAAGAAATAATGAAAGAAAACTTCTCAGAACTTCTGAACCCAGAAAAGGAAATGTCAAATTGAAAGAATCACCTGATCGCTTCCACAAAGAAATTGTATGCTGCAAAACTTCAAGACACATAGTGGTTAAATTTAATAATTCCAATGACAAACAACAAATTCTCCAAGTGACCTGGAGAAAGACCTTCATATATAAAGGAAAGGAAATTCAAGCAACATATTCTGCACGTACCATAGTGGGTACTTAAAAATGTTTACATTTAAATAGAATTTGGAGAACTTTCTGTAGGCTCAGATGGCCAGAGAAGGCTTTGAAGATGATATAAGACTTGAGATTTAGTTAAGTAGAAAAAAAGGAAGATTCTTTTCAATTGTAGAAATTTGGAATGTTACATATGCTTCCAAACTTTTTTTTTTTTAATTTTGTTGTGTGTGTGTGTGGCAATTGGGGTTAAGTGACTTGTCCAGGGTCACACAGCTAGTGTCAAGTGTCTGATCTGAATTCAGGTCCTCCTGATTCCAGGCCCAATGCTCTATCCATTGGGCCACTTAGCTGGCCCCAACACAAATGTGGTTGTTTTATCAGTTGCTTTTTATTACTAGAGAAGGGATTGTGAATTGATGGGTGTCTCTGGAAATGACAGGGCCATTCTAGACAAGGAAAACAGTGTGAGTAAATATAGAGTAAAAACAGCAGCTTTGTTTGAAAGTGAGTGGAAAAATTTGTTTGAAACAGAAAGATCTTTCTCTCTTTTTCTTTTTGAGTCTATACCTATGCTTTTATTGTTATTGGGAAATGCCAGTCAGGAAATTCCCTCCGGCAGGGCAAATCAGCAACTGTTCTGCAACTGGTAATCTCAAGAATTGCCAGTGATAATCACTGGCAGAGTGACTTCTTCCAGGGTCACCTGGTCAATATATGTCAGAGATGAGACTTGAACCTGGGTTTTCCTACTCTGAGGCCAGGTCTGGGCCTAGACCTGGCTACCTGTGTATATTTCTTATGACTTCTAAATTCTGGAGCTGCCTCCTTTATCCAATATCTGAAACTGGATCCAGAGAGACCTCCCTGCCTCCCCCCAGCTGCCTTAGGAGATTACAGGTCATGATGGGCGTGGAAGCTGGAATCTTCTAGTACCCACTTCTAGCACCTCACCTGAACTAGCTTCCTTGTAGGGGAAAAAAAAAAAGTAATCCCAAAGTAGGTTTCTGTGTCTGTTATATATCGGTGTGCCCTCCTCCTTTTGAAGACCCTAATGTGTCTGTTTCAGGGGGTGCGTATGTGATTGGGACAATCAATCCAGAGCTTTACAAGTTTCCCGAGGACCAGAGTGAGACGGACTTCCCCGAAGGCTGTCTGGGGAGGCTGTGGTTCACTGTGGGGTATGAGCAGGAGGCCGAGAGGCTGCTGGTGGGCCTGATCAAGGCCCGGAGGCTGCAGACCCCCTCCCTGTCAGAGACTTGCAGTCCCTTGGTGAAGCTCTATCTGCTGCCTGATGAGCGGCGCTTTCTGCAGTCCAAAACGAAGCGTAAAACCGCCAACCCACAATTTGACGAGAACTTCATTTTCCAGGTACTGATTCCCCCCAGGGAACAAAATGGGGGAGCCCAGAGGTGCATCCTGGGAAGGTTTGGGGTTTGTTTGGAAAGGAGCTTGCTTCTCTTTCTTTCTGGCCATCTCCCCTCCACATCCTCCTAATACATATGTGGTCAGTTTTAGCATTTGAGAGCATAGGAATGTGCCCTGTGGGGTTCAGCGGAGTCCTTTTATTTCTCCGTGTATGCAGCCTCCACTTGCTGTCCTTAGTACATCAACAAGCATTTTTTATTAAGCATATTTACATTGGGGATTCAATAAAAGGCGGGGAGACAAAAACAGTCCCTTGCCCTCAGTAAGCTCAAATTCTGATGAAAGAGCCAACATATAAATAACTATTTCTGTATAAGAAAAATACAGAGAAGATAAAAGGTAATCTCAGGGAAAAGGCACAGGGTAGGATGGGGTTCTCCAGGAATGGCCCCTATACACCATTGCTCAGTTAAAAAAAAATAACAAATAGCATTTAACATAATAGGCACTCAAGCATTTGTTCACTTGAATTATAGTATTAGAAATTAAGATTAGTATTATTATGAAAGTAGTTTACAGGATATTTGGAAGTTGGACCAGATTTTATTTGAAGAAGCATGTTTAAGAATAACGGAGCAAAGAGAAGCAGCTATCAACAAGGCGATGCACCCTGCAACTTGGATCCCTGGGGTCATTAGTACTATCCAAAAATAAGTAACTAGGGCTCTAATTGGTCGTAGGTATTTTCATTCACTTACACCTATAAGAATTATATAGCAGACTCTCTATTCTTCCAGTCCATTAAGACCTCATATTTTTTTCCATTTACTAATGCAATGTGGTTTTTAAAAATTCATTCACTTCAAATCTTTTGCCCCTTAACCTCTATATTTTTAAATGTCAATCATAAAACCAATAACTGTGGTTAGAAAGGATTGGAGAAATAATCTAGTCAAACTTCTTTCCAAATACCAAATATTTTCTTCTAAATTTCTTCTATGACATTTCTGGCAGGTAGGCTTTAGCCTTTCTTTTTAAATTCAATTTTATTTATTTTCAGACCCACAATCTTTCCCCCTCTCCCTCCCCACATTGATAAAGCAAGGGAAAAACCCTCTTACAAACATTTATAGCCACACAGAATAAATTCCTGCATTGGCCATGTCCAAAATCTAGGTTTTTCTTGATAGGCAATCCATTGCCAATTAAAGGAGTGAATTCTCTTGTTGAACAGGTCTGGATATTAGAAAGGGTTTCCTTTATATCAGAGGTTCTTAAATTTTTTTTTTTTTTTTTTTTTTGCTTCATGGACTCTCTGCATTCTGGTGAAGCCTTTGAACCTTTTCTGAGAATAATGCTTTTAAATGCATAAAGGAATCCAATTATATTGAAATACAGTTATTGAAATATTTTTAAAAACAAGTTCATGGCATGACTAATGTGAAAATATGTTTAATAGGAATGATTATGTAGAGCCTATATCAGATTGCATGCCATCTTGGGGAGGGAGGTGGGGAGGGAGGGAGAGAAAATGTAAAACTCATGTTAAAAACTAAAAATAAATTAATTAATTTAAAAAAAAGAAAAAATAATTGTACTTAGAATCTCTTCTTCTTTTTTTTTGCTTTATCAGCAAAACCAGGCAAGATTAGCAGCTTTCCTAAGCCTCCATTATAAAGGAATATGACTTTAAAAAAAAACCAAAAAAACAAGTTCATTGCTTTCTATGAAAACAATAGCCTTTTTCTGTAACTTCTACTCATTAGTTCTGCCCTCTGATGTGACATAGAATCAGTCTAATATTCTTCTATGTAATTCAATTAAAGAAGCATTTATTAAGTTATTACTATGTGTGAGACATTACCCTAGGTTCTGGAGATTTGAAGACAAAACAAGTCTCTGCCCTCAAAAAACCTGTATTCTACTGAAAGGAAATAGCACCCAGAGAGGTAATGGCAAGATATAGATGTCATTTTGGGGGGGGGGTCTCCTAATAACTATTGGGAGAAAGTTCAGAAAATGTCTCTTGTAGCTCGAGGTGGCACTTGAGTAGAGCCTTGCTCCAATGTTCATAGGGCTTCTCAGAGTTGGAGGTGAGAAGGGGAGAGGGTTGTGATGGCAGATAGCCTTTGCAAAGGCAAAGAAGATGGGATGTCATATACTGGGCATGGCAAGTAGGCCAACTTGGAGAGAATGTAGAATATGTAAGGGAGAATTATGTGAAATTCATCTGGAAACATGTTGGAAATGGGTTGTAAAGGGCTTTGAATGCCAAACAGGAATTTAAATTTTATCTTAGAGGCAACAGGGAGCCACTGAAGCTTTTTGAGCTAGGGAGCGACAGGGTTAAACTTGGGCTTTGGGAGCATCAGTTTGGTAGCTGTGTGGAGGATGGAATGGAGAAGAGAGACTACAGGCAGGGAAACCAGTTACAAGGCTATTGAAATAATCCAGGCAAGAGGACATAAGGGCTGCAACTAGGGGGGTGGCTATGTGAGAAGAGAGAAGGGGATGGATGCAAGAGATTTTAAGAGGTAGAAGAATCAACAAGTTTATCTCAATAGACCTTCAGGTATTTAAACATGGTTATGATACATGCTTTGTTGTTGATTTGTTTCATTAGTGACCTCATTTGGGGTTTTCTTGGCAAAGGTACTGGAGTGGTTTGCCATTTCCTTCTCCAGTTCATTTTACAGATGTGGAAATTGAGGCAAACGGGGTTAAATGACTTGTCCAGGGGCACACAGCTAGTAAGATGTCTGAGGCTAGATTTGAACTCATGAGGATGAGTCTTCCTGATTCCAAGCCCAGTACTCTTATTCACTGTACCACCTAGCTAACCCTGTGTATGGCTTGTCTCTGGGCTAAAGGTTCCCAACTCCCTCCATTTTTCCTCATATGACATGTTTTTGAGATGCCTCACTCATCATCCTAATTTCTCTTCTATGTAAACACTCTAGCTGTTGGTATCCCTTTTACTATGTGGTTCCCAGAAAACTGAACAAGGTCTTTGAGGAGTGGTATAACCAGGGCAGAGAACAGTAGGATTCTTATTTCCCTTTTTTCTGGACACTATTCTTCTGTTAATGCTCCTTAAGATTGCATTAATTTTTCTGGCAACTTCATTGCATTATTGACTAATTGTAAAGTTGGTCTCTTTCAGCTGAATAAAGCTTGGAACCTTGCAGACGAGACTAACTCCTTCCCCACAGGACCTTATACAGAAAGGACCTGTTGAGAGGCGTGACTGAATCTTGTGGGCAGGATTAAGTCTCTGATGCCAGCGAGTCTCTAAATGACTGAAATCCTTGTCTTTTTTTTTTAAACATGAGTTATTGTTTAGCCACATCTTCCTTATCCTGTCCCTGTGCAACTGACTTTTTTGAACCCAAGTGCAAGACTTTTCATATGTCCCTATTCCTTTACATGTCTCTAATCCATTTCATTTTGTTAGGCTGAAGTCATCAAGCTCTTATCAGATTCAGTTCACAATTGCAACCCTTCCAAAACCTTTTTTGTTTTTTGCTTTACATTTTGATTCTGTCATCCAGTACATCCTAGCTGATCTCTTAGTTTTGTGTCATCTGCACATTTCACAAATATGACATCTCTACCTTCATTCAAATGCTTGATAAAAATGTTGAAGATAAGAGGGCCCTGGGACATTCCATTAAATACTATAAAAGTTCATATACATTAACCAACACTTTGGATGTAGTCATTAAAGGGAGTGGGACTGGACTAGAGATTTCATTGGTCCAGACAACTCCCTGATGAGAAAATTTCCTCTATCAATGCAGATCGGCATCTTCTCTGCACCCGACAGGCTTAAAGGGCTATTTAGAGCAGGTATCAACCATGCTGCATACAGCCCAACTCTTGAGTATGACCCAAACATTAAAATGTAACTGGAAACTATTTAACAAAATAAATAAAAATACAATAAGGCATAGATAATATTACATTTTAAAACTAAGTTAATATGTGGCCCAAGGGATCCTTATATATGCATTAACGATCCCCATTTCTCTAGAGTTTGATACCATTGGTGTAGGTTTGATACAACTTGGCCAGCGTCAGATAGTCACAAGGTGTCAGAAGTAGGACTTGAACTGGTTTTGAAGCAGGCTTTCTATCTACTACTCCATGTTGCCTCTCCATAGTCATCCAGTCATCCAACCTTTACCCAACAGCACTATTATCTGGTGCACATCTGCCCCCTTTCTTTTTTTCCGATGTTAATTGGATTTCTTTCCCTATATCACTAGCACTTCCCAATGACTTCTTCACCCCACTGGAAGACTCTCTTGGAAGATATAAATATACAAGCAAAACAAATCAACCCATTATTGGCCATGTCTGAAAATGTAATGCTTCATTCATCGCTCCTCTGTTGATGGGCAGGAGACACGCTTTACCATAAATCCAGTGAACTCACAGTTGGCTACTGTATTGGTTAGAGTTTCTGAAGCCCCTCCAACATTTGTCTGGCCAATTCTTTTGTATATAGCTTTTCAGAGAAGAGCGTAGAGCCACTCAAATGCAGGTATGCACCCCCTAGACCTTACTAAACCTATTTTTAGCAGCATGCCAGTACTTAATCTGAAAAACAAGGGAACGAAGTATTGTACAAGTACAGGAAGGTTGATAGGGTTACCAGACTGACAGATTATGGGAATGACATAGACAAAATGTATGTAGGTTTTAACAAGGCATCTGACAAAGTCTCCCATGATGTCCTTGTGGACAAGAGAGACAAATATGGGCTACATCAGTTAGGCCATGGCTAAACAAATTGTGGCATATGAACGTAATAGAATATTCTTACACCATGAAAATGATGAATAGAAAGAATTTAGAGTAACTTGTGAAGACTTTTATGAGCTACTATAGAGTGAAGTGAGTAGAACTAGGAAAATAATTCACATAATATGACAATGCTGTAAAGACAAACAACTTGGAAAGACTTAAGAACTGATCAATTCAATAACCAACCAGGATTCCAGAGGACTGATGAAGTATGCTACCTAGAAAGGTGATGGATGGACTCAAGGGGCAGGTTGAGACATACATTTTTGGACCTGGCCAATGGAGGGGATTTGTTTTGCTTGATTATGTATATTTGCTACAAGGTTGTTTCTGCTCTCTCCTTTCCACCTTCCCTCCCCCACCTTCAATGGAAAGAAGGTGGGTGAGAGAGAAAAAATAAATGCTTGTTAACTGAAAACTCAAAGCAATCTCTCAGATCCCTTTTTGGCACTAGACTTGGTCCTGGATTCCTCCCTGCACCCCTCAGGTATCCAGCAGAACAGTCACTCAGAGGATGCTGAAGTTTTCAGTGTTCCACGTGGACAAGCAAAGAAAGCATCACCTTCTGGGCCAAGTGCTCTTCCCACTGAAAGATGAGATGCTAACCAGCGATAGTCGGCCCATCATCTGGAGAGACTTGGAAGCAGAGAGCATGGAGGTAGGTGACTAATTAAAGGTTAAGTTAATTAAGCAAATATCACCCTGTGTTAGAGCAGCGACTTCTTAGGTTGTGGCAGGGTTCCAGTAGAATGCTGGGGTGGATTTTGTAAGGATCACTGAAGTTGGGGAAGGGACCTTGCAAGTCATTTAGTCCAACTCCTTCATTTTACAGAGGAGAAAACAGGCCCAGATTTTTTTTTTTAAATGACTTCCCCAACTCAGGTTCCTCTGACTCTAAATCCAGTGACATTTTCAGTGCACCATGCTGCCTTGGACTGATGTGTAATTGATTGCTTGAGGGAAAGAGTGGCTGTGTCATAGGAGCTCTTGTTCTAGAGACCGCCCCAGCTACGTGTCCAGCCAGCAAAGAAAGCCCTCCGATTTACTTTTTTAGGTTATTAAGAATCAGTTTGGGGTAAATGGAAAGAACAATAACCAGAAAGCAATAGAAAATGAAAGTTGCAAAATTATGAAGAACAATATTGGCTCCACAAAAGAGACATGAAAAGACATCTCTCCCCTATGACTTTGAAGAGATGGGGAGGGGGACCCATGGGAATGCACCACATTCTTCTCTTGCCCTGGTTGTCAGAGTAACATGGTGAAAAAAACCCAACCCTCAAACTACTTTCACTTAAGGAAAGTCTTGTAAAGTAGTACCAACCATGGATGAGACCAGGAAACCATCTGACCAGTGGCCATCTGTATAAGAAATGGTAAAAAAAAAAATCAGCAAACATTAATTATCAACAAAATTTATTTCTCAGAGATGGAGAAATTTTGCAAAGAATATAAAGACTTAAGGAAATTGTCCAGAAAGGAATTCCTTAGATGCAAGTGTTCTAACTTCATAGTCTGTTTTGTTGACCTGATTGTGATCATGAAATCATACATAGATTTAAAGCTAGAAGGGATTGTAAAGATTATTTATCAATCAGCAGTATACAAAGTCAGGTACTGTGTTAGGTCCTAGAGATTTAAAGGCAAAATTAAGAACTTATTTTTTTTCCCAGGGAAACAACATTTGCACACATAAGGATATATAAAATATATAGAAAGCATGTGCCTACACTATATATAGTAATATTGGGGTGAAGAGAAGCATTAATAGCTAGGGGAATCAGAACAGGCCTTAGATAGGAGGTGGGCTTTGAAGTAAGCTAGAGAGACTAACGGGGAGCTAGGAAGAGAGTATTCCAGCCACATCATAGGCATGGTGGGCTCCCTACCTGGAATAAATTTCTGTGGCTGTTGGAGAAGGCTAGGGGTTTTGGGGTTTCATGGAAGCCACTTACTATGTCTTTCAGACAAATCTCTTCTCTAAAGTTGACTGTTCATTTTGTTCTCTACAGCCCCCTTCTGAGTTCGGGGACATCCAGTTCTCTCTCAGCTACAATGATTACCTGGGACGCCTGACTGTGGTGGTGCTAAGAGCCAAGGGCTTGAAGTTCCAGGATGACCAGAATGTTGTCAGTGAGTTCTGCCTCCCTTTTTCTGAGATGATGTATGGGAATTTAGCCTCCATCATGGCGGCCCTCCTGTCTAGAAGCCCTGGGGGCAGGGGTTCTTAATCCTTTTTTTGTACCATGGACCACTTTGGCAGTCTGGTGAAGCCTGTGCACCCATTTCTGAGAATGGTATTCTGTTGCCGACATTCATAATTAAAAGAAATGCTAAATTTCATTTGGAAAGAAAAATGGAAATTTTTTCCTCATACAAGTTCACAGAATCCCAGAAATCCATGGATCTGGAGACTGTGGGGGCCTGTGGCCTCTGGTCAGTCAAGAATTCCTGCCCTAGGGGATCAACTCTCTACTCCTAAAGTTGAACCTAACAATGTGATCACACTTTGGAACCTTTTTATTCTTCCCTTTTCCAATTTGCAGTTAGGGGAGGAGGGGGGAAGAAGCCATCATCTCTACAACCCTTTTCTTCAAATCACACAAAATCATAAAATTTCAGAGCCCATCTAATCCTACCTGTAACCTGGACAAGACTGTTTTCTATGACACCCCCACAAGTGGGTCATCTAATTTTTCTTTTTTTTGTTGTTGGGCAATGGGGGTTAAGTGACTTGCCCAGGGTCACACAGCTAGTAAGTATTATGTGCCTGAGGCCGAATTTGAAATCAGGTCCTCCTGAATCCAGGGCCAGTGCTCTAACCACTGAGCCACCTAGCTGCCCCCCATCTAATCTTTTCTTGAAGACCACTTGTGATAGGGACCCCTACTCTCTGCCAGGGCAGGTCCTTCTGCTTCGGGATAGCTTTAATCATTAGGTAAGGTTTTCCTCACACCAGACCTTGACACATATCATCCAAAGCCCACATCCTTCTGCCCTCAGGAACCAAGCAGCAAATCGAATCCCTTTTTCCCATGACAGCCCTTTAAATGTTTGAAAACAGCCAGCCCAGTCACCCTAAATCACATCTTTTTCAGGCTTAAACATTCCTAGTCCCATCAACTCATCCTATTTGTTATAATTTGTTATTATATTGTACTCCCTTCTACTATTTGGTCTAGTATAAACTAAGAATTCTGGCTCTGAAGTCAGAGGACCTGGATTCAAATCCACCTCAGATGCTTGTTAGCTGTGACCGTGGGCAATCACCTCGCCTCCCTGGGGCTCAGTTTCCTAATCTGTAAAATGAGAGAGTTGGGTTAGATGGCTTCTGAGTGATCAATCAAAAAGCATGTTAGTGAGTGTCAGACACTGTGCTCGTTGGTGGGGCTACAGATACAAAGAAGACAATGATCCTGTGTCTGAAAGAGTTTACATTCTAACACAAGTGCATATAAAAGCACACGTGACATAGATGTAAAGATGATAAATGCAAATAAATAGTATTTAGGAATGGAGGGCATGAGCATTTGGGGGTGGATCAGGAATAGGAGTCCATGAACATATATATGTGTGTGTGTATGCGTGTATATATGCGTATGTATAGGTATGTATGTATGTATGTTTATGTGTGTTTGTAGATATACATATGTATACATATATTATTCAGTCATGTCTGACTTTCTTATGACCCCATTTGGAGTTTTCTTGGCAAAGATACTAGAGTAATTTGCCATTTCCTTCTCCATCTCATTTTACAGATGAGGAAACTGAGGCAAACAAGGTTAAGTGACTTGCCCAGGGTCCTATAGCCAGTAATTGTCTGAGGCCAGCTTTGAACTCAGGTGTTCCTGACTCTAGGTCTGCTGCTCCATCCACTGTGCCACCTACCTCCCCCAACCTGAACTCCTTCTTACAGAAAGCTAGGGTTTCTCTGAGGCTGGACTGAGTATCTATGATCTTAGGATACTGCTAAACTGAACCAGTTGCTGTCTGTGTACCCTGAACCCTTTCCTTTCCATGTTCACACTGTTCTCATATCTCCCACCACCCCTCTTTTATGCTTCCATCTTCCTTTCTTTAACCTCCTCCAGGAAACCTTCCTTGACCTGTCACTAATTATCTCCCCTCTCCATCCCTGCCACCTCCAGTGATCTGCCCTAGTACCCCTAATCTCATCCTTTCTTGGGTAGTTATGATTTGCGTCCATGACAAGTCTTTACCTTCACCCCCACTCCCCTGAGGCTGGGAGCTCTTTTAGGGCAAGGGCAGAGTCAGAGCATAGGGTGGAGAGGACCCAGTGGGAGAGAAGAAGCCAGGGACTTACTTGGTCATTGACGTGTTTTTGTGTTTCCTTTTCCCTCCCCCATTTCTTATTACCTTTTGGTAATAGGGAAAGTTGACCCCATTTTCCCTAAAAATGGAGTCAGCTTTCTCTGTTCACTTTAGGCTTGGTAGGATTTGGATGTTTCTTAGGGATTAAAGAAACGAGCCCAGAGCCTGGAGTTCCTGTCCAATAGGAATGTTGGGAAGGTCATGACTCCTGGAGGAGTGGGCTCATTGGCTGGGCCTGGAAACACAGCTACCATTTTCATGAGATTGCTTGCCGCTTGGGTGAATGTGGTGCCAGGGTCTTGTGTTATTTTCAAATAAGCAAAAATCTTGTCTGGGCAATGAAAGCCTGGGAGGAAGGAAAAGCTTGTCACTAAGCCTTTCCTTAAGATGGATGGTCAGATTAGAAAGACATTAAAATAATTAACCCCTGTTTCCTTTGATAATGGCCCCTGGCTGCAGTGGTTATGGGTCATGTTGGCTCAGTTCCTAGGGCACAGTACAGTAGCATCTTTGCCAAACTGGGCATACTCTAAAAGTGGAGGAGGAGGGGAAAATCCTGCCTTGTTCAGCTTGGGAGACACATCTACAGGTTTAACAGGTAAGAATGGGCATTTGGCTTCCACTGACTGGTTTGTTCTGGCAAAATGCTGCCATAGAGGCTTGTTTTCAGTATAAAGATTTTATGGCCTTCCCAGGGAGAAGATAAATGGGGGTGCCTCTTTAGTGTCCCCTCTGCAATCTACCAGTGATTCTCACCTCGGTTTCTTTAGGTGTGTTTGTCAAAGTGTCCCTGATGAACCACAACAAATTCGTCAAATGCAGGAAGACTTCTGCTGTGCTGGGCTCCCCCGATCCTGTGTATAATGAGACTTTTAGCTTCAAGGCCGATCCCGAGGAGCTAGACACTGCCAGCCTGAGCCTGACAGTGCTGCAGAACACAGAGGGTGACAGTAAGGCAGCTTATCTTTCTTACCCAGAGCTTGGATGCTCAGACTTCAAATAACCTTACAGTATTGCAGCAGTAATAATAATAATAATAGTTAACATTCATATAGCACCTACAATATGCCAGGCTAAATGCTTTACAATTATTTCTCAGTGACTAGGTTGCTATTATCATCCCCATTTTACAGTTGAGGGAACTGAGGCAAACAGAGGTTAAGTGACTTGCCCAGGGTCATATAGCTAGTAAGGGTCTGAGGCCACATCTGACCTCTGGTCTTCCTGATTCCAATTCCCGTGTTCTATCTACTACGCCATCCAGCTGCCTCATGTTGAAGAGAACAAGGCTGCTTGACCAGGGCTGCAGTCCCCTGAATGTCTGAGGCAGGGATCTGAATCGAGGATTTCCTATCACTCCATCTACCATATGATACTGCCTCTACAGCTTACTATTAGAAAAGAGAGGCCCACATTGGCTAATTCCTTACTATCACTATTTTATAGAAGATATGGCCACAGATATTGGAATACAAGTTCAGAGGTTATAACTGTTTTCCTACCTGTATAATGGGGAGTGAATTTGCTGCTTCCTTAAAGGGAGGGTGAGAAGTAACTCAAATGTCTTGCTGAGGTAATTCCAATTATGTACTGAAGAGAGTAATGATGCTGCTTTTCCCTCCCCCACCTCCCTTTTTAAACCAGAAACCCACCAGCTGGGCCGTGTAGTAGTAGGACCCTTCATGTACACGAGGGGGAAAGAACTGGAACACTGGAATGAGATGATGAACAAACCCAAGGAACTGGTGAAGAGGTGGCATGCACTGTCTGGAAGCACCTAACTGCGCCTGGTCTGCAGGGACAGCGACTTCTCTGCTTTGGAAACTGCTTCTCTTCCTTTAGAAAACTATGACATAAGAACAAGGTGTCATCACCGTTTTCCCCAACACCTAGCACCAGGCCGGCCTCATAGTGGGGTGTGCATGCAGGGAGCAGACTCTCAGACAGGATGAGGGAAGACGTTGTCACTGGTTCTACGTCAGGAACAGGGCCTCCTCTTTCCTCGGTTAGCATAGGGAAAATCCTAATAATATGTCCTCTTTTCTCTCTTGTGGAATACTCTTAAAAGTCCTGTTTTGGGACCTTTCTCATTGTAAAGCTGAAGTTAAGTCAGAATTTCAGACATTCAGACTGTTTGCTGAATAGTATAAATGTTATTGGGACAAACTTTGTTTTCTCTGAGGTTAAATTCCTATCAGCACATGTGAGCACTCTTTTGTAGGTAGGCTGGTCTCTGTATTCAGTCACAAAAGGAAATACTATTTTAAGAGGATAGAAATAGGAAGAAGCTAGGAAAATATTGTCCAGTATACTTATGCCATTGTGTCAATGAGAACTATACATGGGTGGGAGCAGTTGATCACAGTAAGAGATGTATGACTTATTACTTGTTTACTTGAAACTACCTCTAGATGTGGGCATTAGGGATATGTAGCATAGGACCTATCCCAGTGATACAGTGACCTCCAAGGTGGAATAAGATTCCTTGGTGACAAGAATGTTGTCTGAGTTAGTTGGAAGAAAATCTCTTCAGAACAAAGAAATAATGTTACAAGCATCAAAACGAGAGGGAAATATAAGCCGGCCATAGTCTACTATAGATTATCTAAGTCAAAATGACTTGAACATTGTGATACTTGCTCATACTGTTCAAAGGCATTGAGACTGGGGACTGGACTACCACAGTGAAATTCCTGATGAAGAATGTATTACCTCTGTTGTGAGGGTTCCCTGGCCAGGTGTTGTCAAAAATCTCGACTTCTGTGCTTTCCCATACTTTGAACTAAGCCATTGTATATTCCCATACTCTTCTGGTCATTAAAACACTTGTGAATCAAGACTAGCTGTCATTTTCTTTACAATTACTAGAAGGCACACATAACAGGTGTATTCAGCGTTTTTGCAGTTTGATGTTTGGAGGCAAAGGGTTTGATTCAATGAACATTTATTTAGCACCAATTACGTGCCAGTGCAGCTCACAACAGAATCTGTGAGCCGGGATCCAATGGAATAGCCTTGGAGAATGGGCAATTCAGTGAAGGTTATCAACCATCTTGTGTAATACAAGAAAACAGCAAATGCATCTTGGATATTTTACATGAAGTAGTGTTTAGGTACGGTTTTCATCTGTTGCTTTTCCATATTATCAAAAAAGGAAGAAAAGTGAAATGAACCATGGGAAGCTGGGATAGGATGTTTTTATTTTTTAAGTTTATTATCCATTACACTGCTTTATACCTGACAAAAACTTTTGAATGAAATTTTAAGTCCCCATCATCTTCTTTTCTAGATGAGTTTTGCATTAACCATTGTGCTAAGTACCTGTTTATAAAGATTTTTCAAGAATGGAGAGGGAAGGAGGCAGCACAGGAAAGAAATTGTTAGAGGATTATTGGTGAACACAAGTTAGAACCATACCTTCAGGCTCTGTTGCTGACTGTTTATTGTACTATCTCTAAGAACCACCCTGACGTACATAATTGGTCATTTCTTCAGCTAGGTAGGCAATGAAATCTGAAATGGAAAATTTGCTTGTTGAGGCACGTTGAGGGTTCCTAACCTACTTACCTCTCCATCCCAGTGACTGAATTCTGGCTCTGGATTCTGGAAGTGGTCTAAAGGAGAAACTGTAGACTGGTTCAAGGATCCCTGGTGATGTCACCTATTTCCTGCCATTATGTAGCTCTATATCTAGCCAGAAGGAAGACTCATTTTGTGGCTTTTCTCAAACCAAAACCAAGCAAGGCTGGGTCTCTCTAATTCCTTTTAATTCTGCTGCTAATTCTCTTCCCATGTTCCTTTTTTTTTTTTTTTAGGCTCATGTTTTTTAGGAGTAACTCTTCTGCAGGATTCATCTTTGCTTTAAGTACAGTCTTGGCACTTCCCCTATCTCTTGGGGGGGTTTCCTTAAAACATGTTAGCATCTTGCTTCTGTTGAGAGGCACTGTCAAGGGTCATTAACTCACCATTAAGAATGGTCAGCTGACATCTGTTCAATACCTTCTCTCCAACATGTGAAGTAGAAAAAGGGCTTCCATCAACATCCCTTTGAAAAGGTTGCCAAGCAGCAGCTAGGTGGCACAGTGGACAGAGCATCGGTCCTGAAGTCAGGAGGACCTGAGTTCAAATCCGGCCTCAGACCAAACACCTGACATGTACTAGCTGTGTGACCTTGGGCAAGTCACTTAACCCCACCTGCCTCACTAAAAAAAAAAAAAAAAGAAAAGAAAAGAAAAGAAAAAGGTTGCCAACTCCTGAACCAGGTATTTAGAACTCTAAGCTGGCATTTGTAGCAAACACCCTTACAGTAAAGCTTAATCAGCTTTTAGCAACTAAAGAGGTCCCTGTGCTGTCTCCCTGTATAACTAACTTTGTAGTTTTGATGCTTTGGGGTCCTGATTTTAGAGGACTGGGGCTTAGTTAAGTTAAAGCATAGTTTCACATTTACTGATGAGCCAAACATTTTCTCTGTGACAATTTGACACTGATTGTTTTGGAGGATTTTACCTATTCCATTTACTGATTCCATTTCCATTTACTGATTCCAGGCCACTCTCAGCAAACATGTTTCTTTGGCTGTAAAGAAATTGATGTAACTGATGACAAACCAGGTCTAAGACCTCTCAAGACAGAGTGAAAGGAAACTAATATGGCAAATTACATTTCTTGTCACAAGCTTCTGTCCTTGTAAACCAAAGCAGGGGTCAGTCACTTTTCATCTGACAGAAAGGATAGCTTCTCATCATCCTATGAGTCATAGCTTGTGACACAAGAAGCCTACCTGAGTACAAAGATACCACTTAAAAAAGTTGGGGGGTGGAGACTGACAGAGTAAAGAGGAAGGCTCTTATAGAAGGGGGAAGACTGGAGAATGTTTAGAGATGACAGGGAAGGAGGGAGTTTCCTAATGGAGATGGAAACAGGGGCTCCAGTAAAAGAGCTGGCCAGCTTCAATGAGAAGGATCATCCTTTTCTCAGAGAACAAAGGAGGAGAGGACATGTGAAGAGGCAGAGGAGGGCTAAGTTGTGGAGGAAGGGAGGTGACAGAGCTCAGGATGAATGGCTTAATTCTTCTAGGCATAGTAGGAAGCCGGGACCTCAATCTCTGCTGAAAGACAGAAAAGTGGTGTTGCCTTTGGGCGTTCAACTGAGGCCTCACTGCTGCATCCTTTTAAATTTCCCGACTCACTTACCATTTTCCCTGCATGGGCTGAACCAAACCTTCTCTGTTCAAACCACCTCTCCTGTTCTTTTCCACAATACAGAGATAGGGATGGGACCTATAATTTCACTAATATAAGGGACTCCTGAAGGAGGAAACTCCCTCCACCAATGCACGACAGTGCCATTTCTACTACTCATAGTTCTAGGAAATTGTCTAAAGCACCGAGAGGTTTAATGACTTGCCCAGAGGATTATGTTGTCAGTAGGGGTCAGAAGTGGGACTTGAACCCTGGTCCTTGTAGCTCCAAAGCTAGCTAGCTAGCTTTCTATCCATTATTCTATGCTGCCTTCTCAACAGAAGCCCTTTTATTCATTCAGAAAGCATTTGCTGAATGAGCATCTACTTGTTATAAGGCAGTAGGAATACAAAGAGAAAACTAAACAATCACTAACCAGGAACTTCCATTCTACTGATGAGGTGGGTGGGGTGATACAACATGGACATAGGTAAGTAAATAAAAAGTATATGAAAAGTAAATAGAAGTAATTTTAGAACAGGAAAGCACTAACAATTCATATCATGCAGAGGAACTAGAGGCCACCTATCAAAAGCTCCCTCTTCTCCCCAGTGCTGTATCTCAAATCTTCTCAACGTCATCATCTTATTTTCTCCCCCTCTGCTTCATTTTCCCTTCAATATAATTTTCACTGTTTAGCAAATTTCTACCCCTACAGTAAATGCCCATTATCTTATAACTATTCTGGATGTAAAACCTATTTGTGACCACGGGCAAGTCACTTAACCTCTTTTAAGTTCAGTTTATCTTCATGTGTCAAGTCAGGATAATACCTGTATGATCATCTACTTCACAGGGTTCTCTTCTGGGAAGAGGTGTAAACCTTAAAGTGCCACACAGAAATGTGACACTATGATTATCACTAGATTATATTTCAGAAGGAAAACTGGGAGAGACTATGGAAAAATAATTTCTTTTTTAATGACTACCAAGTTTTATTAAAAATAAAAAGAATATGCTCAAGTTAATATTTCTGGAGCCTGTAAATATGCACAATTCTTTTTGCTACATTTTTTGGGAGTTTTTTTGGACATAAACCCAAGGTAAAAAGTCTTATTCTTCATTTCATTTAAAAAAATCATTTCATTGTATTTCTCCTCCAATTACCAGCAGTTTGTTCTTCTGATTGCTTAAATGGTTATAGAGAATCATGCTTCAAAGTCGGTATGAAAATCTAGCAGATAGAAGTCTTGTTGCAAAGGGTAGCTGTTTTCATCTAGAATAAAAAGGCTCTGAATTTTCAGTGTGTAGGCTCTTTCTCTGCTTGCTAGCAGTGAGTGGCATAGGTCCGCTGCAACCATCCCATATGTGATCCCTGAGAACGGGACTGCTCAAAAAAAAAAAAAGAAAAAAAGAAAAACGAAAAGAAACCATAATGATACCTTTTCTAGTGGCACTTACAATCATCCTCTACTGTTCCTTTCTACTGCTCAGAACAAAAGACTCTCATTTCCCTACCTTCTTTTCAGGTACAACAAACAGATGGCATTTTAGCATCTAGTTACTCCATTCCTGTTGAAGAAATGGTTATCACTTATGGTGTATATTTTTATATCAAAAATTTTCCTTATTCCATTGCTAGCTATAAGTAAGTAACATGTAGAAGAATTTACTGGCTACTATTACCCGAAATCTGAAACTGAAAATACTCTTAGTGTTCACATCTAAAAAGTACTACTGGGGTTAGCTAAAGAATTCTGTGATTAAATAAATGTTAAGAATAGGTGACTAAAAACAATCTCATTGTATGTTAAATGACTAGATTAATATTGATTCCTTGAAAGTGTTCTGAAGTACTGAGATTATAATCCCTCAGGACAAGTGTTATGGATGGACAATGAGCTAGATCCAGCCCAGAGTAGGAAATTGGCTAGATTGCATTTTGGGAACATACCAGCACTCTGAATAATCCCAAGCTGTTTACCTGCCACACAAGCCTCTCCCTCTTTTAAAAATCAAACTATTAATATTTTGTATTATCACCCTAATTCCCAAATATATCTCAGTGTACCCAAAAGTCATATCTTATGCCAAAGAATAAAAAAGAGAGGAAAAAATAGAGAAAACTAACCAGCCCCCCAATGAAGTCTGGCAGTATGTGCAGTGATTCCCTGTGCCCACGATGTACATCATGTCATGGGGTACTCTGTTCTTTACTGGGCACAGAACTGAAGCTTCTTGGATTAATTTTTAAAGCCAGTCCCAATCGGATCCCATCCTACCTATTCAGCCCTCTCTTCATTGCTCAGTTTCCTCATGATTCCCATGTATTGGTTCTAATTTGCAGCTTCCTGCCTTTGCTTACAAGGTTAACCATGCCTGGGATGCTCTCTTCACCTAAGTGTTTCAGCTTCCCATATGTGACAGCAAGGCAGGGCAGGGTAGGGTTCTGTGGCTCCACACATCTAGGTGACAGCTTGATTTACATGAGGTTGCCTCTCTCTGGCCCAATGTCTGCCTTCTCCAGCCTCAGGCATGCCACTGCTTTTGACAGTGCTAAGTTTGAGCACTGACCAGAATGGTTATGTCTAGGTTAAAAACTAAGGATTGAGGCTAAAGATCTTGTTTGAATTTATACACTGAGATGATTTTAGGATTAGATCTCATTAATTTATAACTACTGTGGTTTGGTCAAACCTCCCTCCTTCATAAATGCTAGAACAGAAGGTGAAGAGGATGAGACTATTAATCTGTATTTGTTTGCTTTTAAATACTAGTATCCCAAATCACCTCTGCTGAGAATCAATCTTACCAGTGAGGAAGTTAACTGAAATAAACTGAGAATGTGGAGGTATACTAACCTTTTCAGATCACAAGAGATCCATTTAACACACACTTACTAGAGCTTTTTGCCAATTTAAAAAATCTTGAGCAGATAAAATATATGATCATGTTAACAGATTACAGTAAACATCTCACTTATCCAGAAACCACTCTCTATTGAGACCTATACACAGATCACTAAGAACTGTTTACAATTTAATTTTGATACAATACCTACAACTCTGCTTAACCAATCAGGTGGAATATTGAGAAGAATCTTTTGTATCATCTCTGATCCTACATGAATGCGAACCTTGTTCCTGTCATCAGACACAGTCATTAGAGCTGACCTGGAAAAAGAGACATGTCAGGAGAGACAAAAAATCAAAAAAGAAGCTTTGAAACTAGAGCAAAGTTTCAGTGAAATTAGTGATAAAAAGTGTCATTTTCTGGTCTAGACTTGATTTTAGCATGCTGAAAACAGCTGAGAGTGCTCCTGTGATACCACATCTACCTTTGGTTCTTATGGAAGAGTCAACAGAGGAAAAACCTGTGCCTCTGGGAAAACTATGCCCATGTTATTGTGATAAGACAGTAAGAGAAAAATGAAACAGTTTCCAAGCTCAAGTCCCAGTCTCCTTGGAAAATTATAATACTGGCTTCAGTTATTCAATAGTGACATGAGCAGGAAGTATACAGTTGAATGGGTAATTTATCCACAGAGAAATGTTTTCATTAATTAGCATCCTGTTGCCCTGTAATACTGGGGATAATCCTACCATGACAAAGAAGTAAACTGATCTTTTGGAGGTTTGTTAACTTTGCAGGGCCAAAGCAGACCAATTTAATATAAACTTAACTATATTTACTTGTCAGTGAGTCAATCAACAAACATTTATTAAGAACTTACTACGTGCTAGGGAGACAAAGAAAGGCAAAAATACTATCCCTGTCCTGAAGGAGCTCACACTCTAATAACCACACACACATGCAGTTGTAAAGGAAGGTAATCACAGAGGGAAGGCACCACCAGCTGAGAGGCCCAGGAAATCTCCTGCAGAAGATGTGATTTGAGCTGAGTTTTGAAAAGAACCAGGGAAGCTAAGAGACGGAGGGGCAGGGGCAGAGCATTCTGGGCACTGGAATAGCCCTGAAATGGCAGAAATTGGAGATGGAGTGTTGTGTTTGAAGACGGTAAATAGGCCAATGTAGCTGGCTGAGTGTGGAAAGGAATAAAGTAAAAGAAGACTGGAAAAGTAGAAAAGGCCAGATTGTGAAGAGGACTTTATATTTGATGCTGGAGGTAACAGTGAGTTACTGAAGATTATAGAGGGGGGCAGTGGAAGATGACATGGTCAGATCTGGGCTTAGGAAAATCACTTTGGCAGCTGAATGGAGGATGAGTTAGAGCAAGGAGACAATCCTCTAGTGATGAAACCTATACTGAGATGGTGGCTGGGGGACTGGAGAGAGATTGTAAGAGAATTCACAACAAATGAAGGAAGAAATAAAAGATATTACTGGAAATTATTTTACTCAACTACATGCTAATCAAACCTGCAACTTTAATGAAATGGATGAATATTTTACATAAAAATAAAGTACCCAGATTAACAGAATAAGAAATAAAGAATTTAAATAACACAAACCCAGAAAATGAAATTGAATGAGCCATAAATGAACTGTCAAAGAAAATATAAAACTCAGAACCAGATGGATTCACAAGTAAATTATTTCAAACATTCAAAGAACAATTAACTACAATATTACACAAATTGCAAAAATACAAAATTCCTTCTATGATACAAAAATGGCCTTTATACCTAGAGCAGGGAGAGTCAAAACAGAGAAGGAAAATATAAACCAATATCCCTAAGTGACATTGAACCAAAATTTTTAAATAAAATATTTATAAGTTAGTATAGCAGTGTATCAAAAGATTATATACTATGACCAGGTTGTATTTATACTAGAAATGTAGGAAAAAGATGATCATGACTGACCATATTTATAAGAACAGTAGAAATCATATGATTATATCAACAGATACAAAAAGAGTTTTTGACAAAATCCATTTCTGCGAAAGGAAAAACTCTCATCAACCCAACAAAACCAAGAGCCAGAATTGTATGTAACAGACATAACTAAAGTCCTTTCCAGGAAGATCAGGGGTAAAGATAGGATATCTGTTGTCACCACTTCTATTAAATATAATGCTAATGTTAGCTATATTAATAAGGTAAGAAAAAGAAACTGAGGGAATAAGCATAGCCACATAAGAAACAAAGTTATTGCTTTCTACAGATGATAAGGTGGTGTACTTAAAGAGAACAAACTAAAAATTAATTATAACTCCAGCAAAATTGTAGGATATAAAATAAATTCACATAAATAAATGATCGACATTTCTTTGTTACTAATGAAACCCAGTAGGAAGAGAGAGAAAAGGGAAATTCTTTTAATTTAACTACAGAATATATAAAAAACTGAGGAATCTACTTACCAACGTGGACATAAAAGCACTATATACAGAATTAAAAACTGACCCAAATAATTGGGAAAATATTACTCATGGGTAAGCTATGCCAATATAATAACAATGACAATACTATCTAAATTAATTTACTTATTTAGTTCCATATCAATAGAACTACCAAAGGGTTACATTATGGACCTGGAAAAATTAATGAGATTCATCTGGAGGAACAAAAAGTCAAGAATCCCAAGGAAAATTCTAGAAGAAAAAAAAGAAGGGAATTCAGCGATACCTGTTCTCAAAATATATTACAAAGCAGTAATTCTCAAAACAATTTGGTACTGATTAAAAATATAGGTCTATCAATGGATCAGATCAGGTACACATATACTGAAGCAAAAAAACCTTGTAATTTAGTGTTCGATAATCCCAAAGACCCCAGCTGCAGGGACAAGGACTTGCTACTTTACAAAACTGACAGGAAAACTAGACAAAATAGAATTGAGAGGAAAAAATAAATGCTTAGTAAGTGGAAAAAAAAGAAAATATAATCACTTAAAAAAGGATGCAGTGTCATTCTATGCCACAGTGAGGCCTCAGAGAAGGAGGAATCTGGTGCTAAATAATTTGCAGATGATCTGCTTCGGGAATAGGGTCCGATATGGAGCAAAGCAGCAGCCTCCTTGAAAGCTACTGAAAGTTTATAGGTCATGTTATAAAATTGGCAAGACAGTAAAAAGTGAGATGTTGTTTCACAAAAGCATATATAGATAAAAACAAATTATGCCAGACCTCCAAAAGTTCCATTATACTGATAACCATTATCCTAGAAGGAACATATTGTTTTATTTATTCTGAAAGTTAAAAAAAATCTGAGACTCCAATATGTTTTATATTCCCTATGGTAACTCAGTAGTGAAGAAAGAAAAAAATTTTCATTTTAACTACCAATCTACTCTTTTTTCCACATATAACTATTTTAATTATTTTTACACATCCTAATATTTTCTTTCTGAAATGGATGGAATCTCTTTTCTGCCTTGAAAGATTAGTTATAGTTTTGGGTTAGATATAAGAAAATGGTACCATTGACTCATTAAGGTTATTTCCAGTCCTATCATTCTAAATACAGTCTTTTTAGATAACTTGGTTTTTGGCTTTATTTACCTGTAGTACAATTTCACCATAGTAAATGGCAAACAGCTGATACACTGCTTGTAGATCTGGTTCTCATCTGTTTCTAATTCCAGTCCACATTTTCCACAACCGGAATACACAATGGTGGGGAGACACATCAGAATATCCTCCAGAGAAGAGTTAGCATCCAGGACAAGCTGTCGGCTTGCATGGGCAGCAACAGGAAACACTAATGCTAATATCTGGGCTTTTACTTGAACCACTCCTATGGAAGACAAAAAATATATATGGAATCAGAATTGTTGTGCTCCCACAAGTTTTCTTAAAAGATCATGGTGGCTTCCTAATTACTAATTCTTTGAGTTCAACTCTTTAATCCCAGAGCCCACGGCACAAAGCTAGAAACCAGATGGAAAGTAACATAAAAATATTGAACTCGCCTATCCAGTTCTACACTTTAAAAATGTTGCCCCTGAAAATTTACAGGCACTGACGTGCCAAATGATCTAAGTTTCTAAACTGTTCCTTTGGATGACCGAAAGGGGGCACTGTAACATAAGGTCAAGAAGTTCACTTAGAACCAGACCATTTAATTTCTTATGAATGTTAGATAATTTAATATTCTCCCATTCTTTTCATACAATTATAATAATCTTTTTTTATTCACAGCACATACAAAATCTTGAAAAAATCTAAGACAATATGAGAGAAAAATCAGCTAAGAAACAGTTATTAAAATGTTATAACTATAAAGTTTTTAATAAAATCTAAAACAATAAATATAAGTATAGTATAAACACACAAAATAAATAAATAATAAATATAACTATAATAACTATAAACAAAATAGCTATATTACAAATGTAACAACCACAAAGTTATTTAAGTTTCAGTGTTAAGGCCAAAATATATCTGATTTCTTCAACTTTTAACCACATATTGTACAAAAATTATGAACACTTTTTGTTAATATTAAATTTGTTTGTTAGTATTAAATTATATCAAGGCATACTAAAAGATATTCCCCAACTTTCCACCTCCTATTTCTTCTCTAAATACATTTGGAATAATAACTATAGGAAGATTTTTCTTAGATTTCTGAAAAGCTCAGATTAAATAGCTTCCATGATATATAATCACATTTTAGATCTGAGAACATGTCCTAACTGCCCATATCTACACCAACCCATCAAAACGATATTTCCAAATAATATATATCACATGTCATCTAAATTATATATAATAAAATATCTGAATAATATATATTAAAATAGGTAGATGATGATAGAGGAAAACAAAAAAATGTCTTTCCAAGTCATATATTTCAAATAGGGTATATTTCTGTTTATTAGAGAACAATTCCAAAGGACAATACAATCAATTAAAAGATCCTTAAAATGCTTCTGATGATGAATTACATATTTAAAAAGAGAAGTTTAGGGAGTAGGTACTTATATGCATTTTATAAAAGAGAATTTTCATATACCATACAAATGATCAATTTGAATATCAGTATCCAGATGGCTAAATAAATAAACTAAAATGCATCTGGAAACTCTAACAGTATCTGGATGATGTCTCAGTGTCTTAAGTAAATATTTATTGGAAAGCAGGTTAAATCACTATGAAGTTCTCCAATGATCAGTGCTATCATTTTTTATTTAGCATTTATAGAACAATAGCCTGCATGGTTGAAGCCACACAAAACAGGTATTTTGAAATGTACTGTCCCACTAAATACAACTTAGTCCCAAGTGCCCAGGTACCAGCTACACTATTCAAACATCTTGGGGCCCAGCTAAGACCACAGCTGTAAAGCAGCTCGACTGCAGAGTCCTACTCCAGTCACAGTCAGTCCCCGCCAGTTCCCAAAGAGTTCACTCCCTTCATGCACAGGTCACAAGCTGTGCACGCACACTCTTACCCGAGCGCTTCTCTTCCAGAAGGGCAGATAAATGTGAGATCTTCACAAGGGGACTTTCCCTTTTTTGGAACTTTGCTTTAAATTCAACTGCCCTCATGTCATCCTCAAAGAGGCACTCACAGGAGGACCAAGGGGTCGTATGCAATTCTAGATTTCCTAATGTGGAATTATGTTGAGTGAGGAGATACTTAAACTCCCAAAGATGATCTTAAGACAAGAAAATTAAAAAGTCAACATAAGGAAAACAATCTAGAATCAGAACAGTATTAAACTCTTCAGTTCAGGGGTTACACTTAAGAATCTGGGAATAAAATAAAATCACTATACATCTATATAACGCTTTAAAGTTTTCAAAGTATTTTCACATACAAAATCTAATTTGTCAGAGCGGCAGGGCTGCAGTCTTATCCCTATTTTGCAAATGATGAAACTAAGGCTCAAGCATCACTTGCTTAAGGTTACATGGCTAATAGGGAGCAGAGACAAGATTAGAACCCAAGCTTTCCGTGTTCTAGTCCAATGTTTTTTCCACTACACACAAGATCTATTAAAGAATTAAATGTGTATGCTTTATTTAGGCATCAAAGTAAGTTGTCTTTACTTTAAAAAAAGTGTTTTTTCAAGGATGACTTGTTGGGCTTGCACACAAGATGGCTGCTTGCTGGAATGGGGGCAGACTGCTCAGCTCCCACACACCTACTAAAGCAAAACCCTAAAATTCACACCAGAATGAATAATGATCAAGAAATTCAATGAGCAACTATAGTAAATGAATACTTCCACTCAAGAACTGCACTAAGAGTCAAGCAGAAGCCCATAGGTAATTGGAAAGAGAGCTGCCAGCAAAGCCAGTATGAGAACAGGCACACAAGCCCCTGGCCTCCCAGTGTGACTGGAGATAAGCTAGAGACAAGTATACTTTCAGGGGTCTATGTCCAGAAGCAGCAAGAGTGGAGGTCTCTGCTAAGAATGCTCCCTGGTGGTCAGAAGCCCTTAAGTGGGAATCTACAGCAGCCCTGTCCTAACTAAAGGAGGAAGAGGCCAGAGCAGTAACTCAGGTGACCTCTTTCACAGGCCTGGAAGGAGGCAGCCTTGGTTCAAACTTGGCCTTTGGCAGAACCAGGAGACTATGTGTGGATCCAAAACTCCAGGAAGGCACCTAGTTACCAGTCCTCTTGGAAGAGAACTGTCTAGGTCTTGCTGACCAGTCATACTGCCATCAAGGTTGCTGAATGGATGACCTCACTCCCATGTGTAGCCTGCCATGACTGACCTCAGTCCAGCAGAAGGAGCAACCCCTGATCAGCCCTTGGACCCAATTAAATTGAGAAGGGACCCTGACACCAATCAGCAGCCCTTGGCCACCTGTTTGTTTGAGACTGATGATTAGAGCCTAATCACGTGCAACCTACCATGCATTTGTTTTTTTTTTTCACTTTTTGCCCTGCTTTATGCCTTTGGGGTGGCTAACCTCCTGGCTTCCTGATTTCGCCTGGATGAGAGGCCTATTCTTGGGCCTTCTATTTTTCATCATTATAGGCCTGCCGTGCTGCCTCCCACCGTGTACCTCTTTTATCCTCAAACTCCAAAACCCCAGGTGGCCAAGGTCAGAAAGATGCAGTTAAAAACCGAGGAATGACAGATGCCTCGTTTTGGGGCGGTACCATGAGTGTGGTTAGCACCAAAGTGGGGATTGTGCAAAGTCAGCCTGAGTGCTTCTTCCACTGGGTACAGATGCAGCCAGCCTGCAGGAGGTGGTGGTCTGGAAATTTACTCTGGCACATGCGTGCTTAGACGTGAAAATGCTGACCTGGACAAAGCTCATCCCCTCATGATATGTGCACCAAGTTACAAGTTACATACAAGTTTACTCTTGTCCATAAAAAACCGGGCGCAGTTTGAAATTAGGCCTGACTGCATTCCAACTGCTTGCTGCCTTGGTGTGCTAAAAAACTACCTTTGTCTTATTTCTTGAGTTTGCCTCATTGACCAGAGCAAGGTCTGAACCAGAATCTTCTCTTATCATGAGCATCCAGAAAGAATTAGTTAAAGTACCAAGGAACCACAGTCCCTGTCACACAAGATTATAAATGAAGAGTGATCTTGGAATACAATTGTCCAAAAGGAGAAAGACAGAGGCTTACAACTAAGCAGAACTTTACCTGCAAGGTTGAGTATAATCTTGCAAGGGGAAAAGATGAACCACAATAAGGGATTTTTGAGTTGGTACTCTGAAAAACACAAGATTCAAGGGAAATCTAGGAAGGGACAATTATTTAAACAATGGGAAGGGGCTGAAGGGTGAAATACTAACATTCTAGTGGGTAAGGAAGAAACAAGTGTCCTTTCAGAACTTAGGCCCTTCAAATGATACTGAGGAGGTTAAATTAAAAAAAAAAAAAAGAACTTGGTGTTAAGATTAGGAAAGAAAAAAGAGGAACACGTTAGTGTAGAAAGGAAGAATGCAGGAGAATTTGTTATTTCTCATAACTGGGGTACATAAGGAGAAGCAGCTAACAAACATGAAAGAGGAGGTGGGGAATGGCATCAGATAAACCTCACTTAAAACTGACAAAGGAGGGTTTCTTTCTCTCTCTCTCTCTCTCCCTCGCCCCCCTCTCTCTTTCACATACACACACAAATACACACACAGAGTTTGGTGGAGAAGTACATTAAACTCAACAGGGAAACAAACAGGGATGGGGGGAAGGGTGAAGAGAGGTTTTGCCACAAGCAACACAAATTTTCTGATGAAGAGGGAGTGATTAAAAGGAAGAAGAAAGAGAAAAGAATTAGTGCATAGAAGGTACATAAGTAAATCTTTGTTGAATGAATGAAAGAAGAGATTTAGAAGCCATCCAACACTCTGAGTGGAACCTTGGTGAAGGATTTATGGGAAAACTTGGAGAAAAGTCACTGAGGCTGGGAAGGCATAGATGGATTTGGATCAGCACTGCTGGAGAGAGGACCCCAGAGCCTCTGAAGTATTTAAATGAGGCACTGCCATTCAGTGGAAAGAGCCCTGGGTTCACATTTCAACTCTATCAAGTATGCCATGTGTGACCTTGGGCAAGTTATTTCACTTTTGTGAGCCTCAGTTCCCTCATCTGTAAAATGAAGGCGTTAGACCACATGATCTCTAAGGTTTCCTCCAGTTCTACAACAGTTATCCCATATTATTCCTACAGGACTTTTTTCTCCAAGATTTATAATAAATTCTCTCATTTGACTTATAATGAATCTAGAACATTTTACTCATCAAATGACTGTGGTATGATCAGTAGAGAATTCATATTATCTATTATTTTATAAATGTTTTGGAATTTATGTTTAAATTTGTTTGAAAACATTATTATACTGTTATAACCTTATTATAACCGTTTGAAAATGGGCAAGTTTTTGAAAACAACAGTCATGCATTGTGAGAGAGAGAGAGAGAGAGTGTGAGTGTGTGTGTGTGTGTGTGTGTGTGTGTGTGTTAACTCAGGTAACCAAACTACAAGGCAGAGCAGCCTTTGCAAATTCAAAAGTGTTCTATCAAAGCCAATTATTATTGTTGCTGTTATTGTTATGATAAACAAATGGGAATTATAAAACCACGAGTAAATGTTTCACTTATTTCTTTAAAAGTCAATATTTACCTATTTTAAAAAAAGAAATAGAACATTTTCTGTCTTATCTCAATGTTTTAATTTGCTCATTAGGTATAAGGATGAGTCACTAAAGTAAACCTAAAAATATCTTAATACTTTCAGAAATGCAAATAAGTGTCAACTTTATATTACAGATGCTAAGAGTACTTTGTATTCAGACATAGTAATGAGGTCATGCAGTAATGCTTCCATTGTTGAAAATTTAATTATTGCAACTTCAAGAAAATATTTTAAACATTTTTTGTTACTTCATTACTAGTTTTTTCAGTAATCTACATACTTTCTGCTGGGACACACTGAGAGACAACCTAAAAGTAGCATACCAGCAAGTGCTTCATAACAACAAAAAAAATATTATTTTATTCAACAATCAGTTTATTGGGACCTAGTTCCTATCTTAAATGGGACTGAAAATCTAATTGGGAATGGTTTTAATAAAACCCTGGATGGTCTCATAGGATCAAAGATTTACAGCTAGAATGGATGGCAGAAGTCATCTAGTCTACCTTCTTTTTACAGAGGAGAAACCTGAGCCGCACAATGAGAATGAGGAGCTTGCCCAGGCTAACAAAAATAAGTAGCAAAGGCGGAATTTGAATCCAGGTCCTCTGAGTTCAGATTTAAGCTTTGTCCACTACGTATGCTGCCTCAAATAAGAGGAAATTTGATAGGGATATATGTAAGTTCTTCAATTGGGCAAAAAGTAATCAGTTTCACAAGAACAAAATCTGGAGAGACTTGGTTAGACAGCAGTTTGAAAATTATTTGCAGATGTTAATGAATTTCAAGCTCTGTATGAATAAAAAATGTGCTCTAGGCAGCCAAAAAAGCTAATATGAACTTGAGCCACATTAAGAGAGGTGCTGAATCCAGGACTAGAGTGGCAATAATCTTGCTGTCCTCTGCTGTGGTCAGACCACTGTGGAGTACTATATTCAACTCTGAATGATCCATTTTAGGAAAGATCCTGATAAGCCAGAAAGGATTCAGAAGAGGGTAGCCATGATGCTGATGTGACTCTATTAATACTATAGTAGGACTGGTTAATGGAACAGGGGATGTTTAGCCTAGAAAAGGAAAGACTTATTTGTGGACATGATAGTTTGTTTCAAATATCGGAAGGGCCATCAGGTGGCTATGGGGTTCGACTGGCTATACAGCACTGGGAACAATAGATGGAAATTACAAAGAGGAAAATATGGGCTTGATGCAAAGAAAAGCTTCCTAACAATTAGAACTTGTTTAGGTACCAGATGGCCTTCACAGACTTTGAGGCCCCTTGCAATGCTGAGTTGCTATGATTCTGAGTTAGGCAGAATTAAATTCTAGCTACTAAATTATATCAGCACTAAATTACATCAGCACTTTTTATAGCACTTCAAGACATATAAAGCACTTTCCTCACAATCTTATGGCGTAAGTAGTGGAATTACCATCACCATCCTCATTTTAAAGATGAGGAAAATGGAGGCATTGAGAAATTTGGTGAATTGTCCACAGTCACACAACTAGGAAGTCTTAGAGCTGGGACTCAAACTCGGGTATTCTGACTGCAAGTGCAATGTTATTTCTACCATATGCACTATCTTTGTTGGCCTCATCTGAGCTGCTCTGCACTCATTCAGCAACATTACAAAAGTAAGATATTCATTTGGCATGGCAGTCAAAGCCCAACTTATTTTAGGTTTATTCCTGTAGCTCTGCAAAAAAACCTCACTTATATTGATAGTCTACCCACCATCAGTACTTTGACTATGACCACATGATGCATGTATTAGCCACAAACATTAGTTCCGAGGCATGTAACAGTATATTCTGAAAAGGGCCTGATGTCCCTTCTAAACAACCAGTTCTTCTACATTTTCTAATCAACAATGAAACTTAATACTGTGAATGAATGGGAGTTGTATTCATGGAGTAAAGGAGAACAGAGTTGTTGTTTTTTAGTTTTTAACTTAAGTGGCAGAGCCAAGGTTTTTTTTTGGGGGGGGGGAAGAGGCAATCAGGGTTAAGTGACTTGCCCTGGGTCACACAGCTAGTAAGTGAGCAGAACAGTTTTAAGAAATTCTGAAAATAGAAACATTTTCACAGTGAAGTCCCAGAACACAGCATAACAGAACTGCTTAGGTAGAAAGCTCTCTTGAATCTGTTAAAGATTAAAACTACACAATATGAGCACAATGTCTTATATAGTAGGCACCTCATAAATGCTTATTAAATGAATGTTGGGACAATATTTGCATTTCACCTGTCTGATTCTTTATTTTTCAATGTCAAACTAAACAGTGTACAAATCCTCCTCTGGACAGAGGTTTGTGGACAAATAATGGTAACCTTTGTTACCATTAAAAGAATGTCCATCATGTGGTTATGTGCTCTGTGACCTGGCTATGTGATAACTCACATTTTGGGATCAACCATTAGATTCGTGATCTGGGTTTTCAGGTTGGGATCAAACAGTCAGGGCTTGTCTACCAGTGGCAGATATTTGTCTGATTTCACAACTGGCAAACAACTCTCATTGACATACCATGAACATTTGATCTCAACACACACACGCACGCGCGCGCACACACACACACACACACACACACACAATTAAATTGGATATCTAACATTCTAAGTATTCCCTATTAATCATTAAAAGAAGATGGGCCACAACCTTATTTTTGTGTAACTACTCAACAGGGTATAAGTTCAGTATTTGGGGACAACCATTAACCCTTTCCATGCAGGACAGTTGAATGATACAATGGTTTGCAAAACTGTCTCAGTCTAGAGCTCACTTCAGGGAGCTAAAGGAAGGGAAAGGCCATATGTACTGACCATTTCAATTTATTATGAAAGAGAAAAACTTCATCAGAACTAAATGGAAAAAAAGCACTGCTGTCAATATCAGTGAAGTATAACTTGTTTTTAATATAATTCATTCATGACGTAACTGAAAATATAGGTATAGTTCATATTTTAAACATGACTACATGTTGAAAATCACTGGCTTTGTGCATGGAAAACTTTTTTAATTATCCTAGTAGCTTCAAAGAGGAAATATATGGGCATACTAATATACTCTTGATGGAACTGTGGAACTAGATCAGCTACTCTGGAAAGCAATTTGGAACTATGTCCCCAAAGTCACTAATGCATATACCCTTTGACTCAGTGATATTGCTAGTAGGTCTATATTCCAAAGAGATCAAAAGGGAAAGCAAGATGATTTATGCATACAAAAATATTTAAAGCAGCTAAGTGGCATAGTGGATAGAGCACTGGCCCTGGAGTCAGGAAGACCTGAGTTCAAATCCGGCCTCAGACACATAACACCTACTAGTTGTTTAACTTGGGACAAGTCATTTAACCCCAATTGCCTCACCAAAATTTTTTTTTTTTTTAACAGATGTTCTTTCTATAGTAGCAAAGACCTAGAAATTAATTCTCTATCAACTAGAGTGTGGCTGATCAAATCACGGAACATGGATGTAATGGATAATTACTGAGTGATAAGAAATGATGAAAGAAGCAGTTTCAGAGAAACCTGGGAAGACTTATATGAAATGACGCAGAGTGAAGTGAGGAGAAGTAGAATAATTTACATAGTAAACAACAATATTGAAAAGATAAAAACTTTGAATTCTGACCAATGCAATGATCAACAATAATTCCAGAGGACTGATGATGAAGCATGCTATCTTCCTCCTAAGAGGTGAGGTGATATATTCTCTGAAGATGAAGAATGAGACATACATGCAAATGGATGTGGTCAACAGGTGGATTTATTTTGCTTAACTACGTTTACTTACTAGAAGAATTATAGGGAGAAAGGATTAGGGGGGTGGAGGAATGGAACCTAGTGATAGGGTTCTCCCTGCTCCAAAAAAGAAAAGAAAAGAAAGAAAAGATCATAAAAGCATTCAAAAATGCAGAGAAGTTCAAAAGGAAACATAAGCAGAATAGCTGTGAAAGTAACAAGTTAAATTTGTTATATACTTTTAAAAAAGCAAAAGCAATATGTAATAGAATGTATATAATACATGTAATATAAACTTGTGATTTCATATATATTCCTCTTTTTCTGTTCTATTTTGTATGAGGAAATGTTCACTTTTTTCCTGTAAATTCAGAATTAATTTTTTTAAAGTTAATGCATGTACCCTAAAAAAGCTTAACTTACAGCCAAAGTAGCATGTTGTGACAGAATATAAAGACATATACCAAACAGTTTATATTTTTAGCACACTGAACCTTAATATAGAGACATAATCTCAATATTTAAATACTTTAAAGAACATAATTTGGAGACTGAATAAGCCTCACTAAAAACAGATATAAATGACATAGCACTGTTGTATGCCCATATAAATAAATGAGTTTTTATTTTATCAACATTTCTAAATAAAGATTTTTAGGACAAAATTATTTTTCTACTTTAAAATTAAAATAAAGAAATAGGACAAGTTTATAGAATATTTGATGCATTCTGAACCTTGTATTCCTCTTTAACTCACATTAAGAGCGTTAACCATTCAAACAGTATTATTAAATTAAAAAAAAAGAGTCTGGCTTATTACCCCTTTTCCTTTGAACCTCTGAGTACCAGGCTGCTCCAGGACCCCATAATACAAGTATAAAATGTTGGTCGTGGACCTGTTCTACTGTTAAAATAATTTTTCTTTGCTTCTGTCCTCTGTAACCATATACTGCCTCTGGAAAAGCAATAAGAGCATTAGTTTTATTTGACTTAATTGAAAATTTTTCTCATTTTCCTAAGTCTATAACTTAACTCAAATGTAGATTAGACAAGGGGCAGCTAGTTGGCACACTGGATAGTGCACCAGCCTTGAGTCAGGAGGAACTGAATTCAAATCCAGCATTAGACATTTACTAGCTGTGTGACTCTAAGTCACTTAACCAACAACAACAACAACAAAAAGTATGTGAGACATACTTTGTCACGCTAATGCACTGATCTTGGAGGTGTTAATTAGCACAGCTACTTTGTAAAGTAGTTTGTAATTATGTATAGAAGGTGACTAAAATGTCCATACCCTTTGACCTGGAGATTCCATTGCTAGGCATTTACTCCAAGGAAGGCACTAACATAAAGAAAGGCTACATACACACCAAAATATTAATAGCAACACTTTTGTGGTAGCAAAGAACTAGAATGATGATCCATCTTCTAACTCTGGGCATTTTAAGCAGCTGTCCCCCATGCTTGGAACTCACTCTCTCCTCTTCTGTACCACCTGGTTTCCTTCAAATCTCTTCCAAGAAGCCTTTCCAGGTCTTCATTACTTTCAGTGCCTTCCCTCTGAGATTCTCTCTAATTTATTCTGTATTTATCTTATTTGTACAGTTATTTGCATGTTTTCTTCCCTATTAAAGATTGTGAGCTCCTTGAGAGAAGTGACTATATTTAGCTTTTCTTTTTATCTCCAGACTTCAGCACAGTACCTAGCATATAGTAGGTGCTCAATAAATGCTTGCTGACTTGTCAATTTGGAAACAAAGTAGATGCAACTGATTGGGGAATGGCTTAAGAAAACACAGTGTGGCATAGAAATGCAATCGGATATTACCGTGCTATTAAAAAACAGCAAAAATGATGACTATAGAGAAACATGGAAAGACTTGCATCAACTGATAGAAAGTGAAGTAAGGCAAGACAGGAAAAGAACACAAATAACATTAATCAAAAAATACAAAACAACTGAAAATGAAATGTTGTAAAATTGTAATGAGCAAGCTTGACCCCAAAGAAGAGATATGGAGAGATAGGAAAAGACATCTCCTCTACTCCTTTGCAGATGTGTTGGAGGGAGCACAAACATGGAACGTTACATAAAGGAGATTTTTTGAATGCATGTTTGTTTATAATTTTTCCCTTTTTTAAAAGAAATCTTTGCTATGAGGGATAGCTTCTGGAAGGGGAGGACGAGAGATACAGGGGGAAATCTAGGCAATATACAAACAAAAAATATCAATAAAAATCTACCTCGCATTTTCAGTTTTTACTTGCATTTTTATGGAAACCTTCCTTAATCTAGATGTTTATCATATGCTTGAAAAATATTGATTCTTAAGAAAGCATTATTATCAACCTTTCAAACGAAGGACCACAAGATGATTTACCTGTTATTATTGTGACACTGACAACTTTTAGTATTGAATGGATTAATGTGTTTGGCTGAAGCTGGTCCAATTCTACATACTGTATACTTTCCAATTTCTGAGGATGTCTGAAAGGAAGATCTACGATGTAGGAATGCTTTGAAGAGATATACCGCAATAAATCTTGCAGAACTGTAACACTGACTATACAGGAATCTAAAACAAAACAAAACAAAACAAAACATAAAGATGACAGAAACATCAGTCTACTTTGAGAACTCTATTTTGGCTCCACAACATTAGACAAAAAGTAAATGATCCTATTTCTGGGTTCTAAACTACATTAGTATTTTTCTTATTACAGAATATCCAGTTCAGCTTAAATATGAAAATAAAGCCTTGAACTTAAATAAATAAAACTGGCTTCTAATGCTGACTTTCCTATTTCTTTTAACTCACAGTCAGGCTCAAAATTTCAGTTACTTCTTATTGTTCCTTGACAAGTGATTGTTCTTTCACTCCTCAGTTATCTCCCATCTCCACTGTTACCAACCTAGCTGAGAACGGCATTATTCTCACCCTGAGACTACAGCAACAGCTTTTTAATTGGTCTCTCTGCCTGCAGTCTTTCTAGCCCCTCAATCTATCCTGTGTATCACCACCAGATTAATATTCTCAGAACACCATCAGCCTTCTGTTCTTCATCTTCAGTGGGGCTATCGCCCTGGAAAACATTCAAATTACTTGGCTTAGTATTCAAGGCTGTCTACAAACTAATCAATGCAGCCCTCCACTCTGAAGCATATGCCCTGAACATGCCTTATAACCTGGAATAACCTAAATCCCTGCTCCCCATCCCCCAAATCTTACAGTACCCAGCTGAAGTCTCTCCCCTTTCATGACACCTTCCTGATCCGTCCAACCCACAATGGTTTTCTCCTTCTCTTTGAACTTATTGCTCTTATTGCTAATACTTTTCATTCAGCAATTGATATATATTGCTTTGTGATATCATAATGTTGTTTTGTACTGTTATTTATATACCACACTCAATTAGAATTTAAGTTTGTGGGCAGGAACTATGTCCCAATAAACATTTTACTGATGGCTAAGATAATATTTTTGGTATAAAGTACTCACTTCAGGGTACTCAGCTTTCTAAACTGTACCTCAACCTATTCCGATGCAAAGTGTGTATATTATTAAGGGAGATAATAATAAAATACTATACAAATACTCATGTTATCTTGAAAGACAACTAAATTTTCAGTTTTTGTAGATATTATTTAACTATAATGGGAACATTGCTATATATCCTCATCACAATGTCTGAATATTGAGTTACTCCGTGTTTATAATGCAAAGTTAAAATCATTTGTTTCTTAAATAAAAGTATTTTAAAGATATCTTTAGATTTATTTTAGTTAGTCACTCAGCACAAGAACAAAGTATAGCCAAGTGAAGGTGATCTATTTCCTTTTTTTTAATGGATGATGGAATATAGATTTTTAAGGTGTGAAGTAAGACATTTATTTGTGGTTTTATAATAAATTCCCACTTATTCATCTTAACAACAATAGCAGTAATGGTAATATCTGACATTTATTTAGCACATTAAAGTCTGGGGCATATTTTACAAAGGCTGCTCTGGCTACATTACATATAGCTTTCCATGAATCAAGTTACACAATTTACAATTAGGCTCAAAAATCTCAGCTACTTTTTATTGTTCCTTGATGATAAATCAAGGAATAAATGATAAATGGATTAGTAATTTTTTGAAATGTTGATAATTTTCAAACAATTACAATAAGACACATCAGAACCTCTACTGAACACACTATAATCACTAGCTGGTACTGCAGAAGGTGCTTCTCGTGAATGTCAATTATTACTATATAGTAGTGTATATAAGCTTCTAAAATACTCTGGAGATTGCCTTTTAAAGAAAATCCCTGGAATAAGTTTGCTTAGTTTCCATTTTTTTTTCTCATGAAAATAGAATGCAAAAGAATTTCATGACACATTCCAAATAAATGAACATTTGTTGTTAGAGATGTAATAGAAGGGATTCCTGAAAGAGCTGTGATGCTTGGCTAAAGTCTCCTCTAATTCTAAAATCCAGTACAGATGTTTTAAGTGGAGCTGTTTAAAGTGTTTTTGTGAACTAAGTGTTTTTATGCCTAAATCTGTATGAGAACATTAATCACAGATTATGAATTTTCTTGGAGAATAATCCTTGGTCTAGAAACAATAGAAACAAATAGAACAAAACTGGCAAAGAGGAGGTGAAATCCGAGATGACTTTTAGGGCTACCTGAAAGTGGGCCTACCATGGGAAGTAGTGAATTTCTCTCCCTGGAGTTCTTTGAGCAAATGTCAGATTATCATTTGTCACCTATGTTATAGGTGGAATTCTTTTTCAGAAATGGTTTGGATTAGATGGCCTTGAATATCCCTTTCATTTCTGAGATTCTGCAATTCTCATGTTTTCAAATTATACTTAATTTTACTCTGCAACAACAATGCATTTATTTCTAAATGCTATTAAGGCCTGAGCCAAAAACAAACCATTCAAGTGCTGCCACCTGTAGGGAAAATTTATAAAACTGGTTTTGCTTGGATAAAGAACAATATAGGAGGTAAATTTTATTAAAGGTCCTCCCCCCACCCCCAAAAATTTACACAGAATTGTCATTAAAAAAAAAAGCCTTAATAGTATTATATATCTTTAACTAAAAACCAGTACAAATTGTTCCTTTTTCAAAATTACCAAATTTTGTAGGCTACATCTCCCCCCTTCAAATTATGTTTATTTAAAATAAACAGTGCAGCTTATAAACAGTGTTATTTTTCTTATCTAATACCTATGTGCTTTGCTAAAATCCTACATTCATGTCTCATTAAGTTGAGGATAACTTTTTTTTTTTTAAGTCAATTGGGGTTAAGAGACTTGCTCAGGGTCACACAGCTACTAAGTATCTGAAGCCAGATTTGAACTTAGGTCCTCCTGACTTCAGGGCTGGTGCTCGATCCACTGTGCCACCTAGATACCCCTTAATTTTGGGTTTTTAAAGGCTTTTTTGGCAAAGAAAACTAGAAAGTCTTCAAACAGAGTCCTAGAGACAGACAAATATGTATTATCTAAAAACGTGCCTCACTAATGAGCCTCAGAGGGGTTCATACCAAGGCAGGATATAAAGTGATGAATTTTCAGCTATAGTTAACTCTTTTTTTAAAATTTTTTTTATTTTTAGGCAATTGGGGTTAAGTGACTTGCCCAGGGTCACACAGCTACTAAGTATCTGAAGCACATTTGAACTCAGGTCCTCCTGACTTCAGGGCAGGTGCTCTACCCACTGCGCCACCTAGCTGCCCTACAGTTAACTCTTGAAGACTATCTACTAAATTGTAAAAAAGCTGCAATCTCTGTTGGTGGAGGGAATACTCACACTGACAAAATCATGTGTGTATATGTGTGTTTGTGTGTGTGTGTGTGTGTGTGTGTACACGTACCTATTACTGTTTGATCAAGGTTCTGCGAATTTTTAAACTCTCTCTTTTGCAAAGTTCTAGTGCAGGTGTTAAGCTTTAATAGCTTAAAAAATCTGCACTTAGACTTTTGGGACACCCAGTATAAACAATCACTAAATTTAAAGTTTCAGACCCTCTGACCAACTAATTCTAATCACTCATCTCCAGAAGTTAACTACTTGAAAAATTTACACAAAATAGAAAAACTAGTCACAGTCTGAGGTAAAGTGCAGTGATCTGCATCAAAGGTCAATAACTTTCAAGGCAGTTCTTAAGGCAGAGCATATCTAAAAGTTTATATGAAAAAAAGGATTACATACTGTACATAACCTGAAAAGAGTTGAAAGAGCAATGTAGTTTTCAAAAAAATAATTTCATAGACTTTTAGAACCTATAGAATAAAAAATACTTTAATAATTATAGAAATATTAAATCATCAAAACACTATTGTAATTTAGCCATATTTTTATTTGCCTTCTTTATTATTCCTTCTAAAAGAAATTTGATTCCAACAAATTTGTAAAAATGTTAATTTCTATCTACAAAAACGAAGCAAAAAATGATAGTGAAGTCAATTTAATATAAATTTTGCATTTTTAAATTGAAAATTTTTTTTACATTTTGATACACTTCCCAAAAAACATCAAAATGAACCCCATTACAAAGCACATTCCCTGAAAAAGTTAGTTTATCTGTTGTTAAGAGTTATGTGTCTCTGATGCACTGCTGGAGTTGTGAACTGATTCAACCATTCTGTAGAGCAATTTGGAACTATGACCAAAGGGCTATAAACCTGTGCATACCCTATGACCCAGCAATACCACTACTAGGTCTGCATGCCAAAGCGATTAAAAAAAAGGAGGGGGAGGATAGAACAAAAATATTCATAGCAGCAGCAGCAGCAGCTAGGTGGCGTAATGAATAGAGCACTGGTCCTGAAGTCAGGAGGACCTGAGTTCAAATCCAGCCTCAGACCAGACACTTGACTCTAGCTGTGTAACCCTGGGCAAGTCACTTAACTCCAATTGCCTTAAAAAATATTTATAGCAGCTCTTTTTATGGTAGCAAAGAACTGGAAATTGAGTGGACACTCATGAATGGGAGGATGGCTGAACAAGTTATGGTATATGATTGTAACAGAATACTATTGTGCTATAAGAAATGACTAGCAGGCTGATTTCAGAAAAACCTGGAAAGACTTATAGGAACTGATGCAAAGTTTATTGAGTAGAACCTGGGGGACACTGTACACAATAACAGCAATACTGTACAATGAAGAACTGCAAATGACTTGGCTATTCTCAGCAATACAATGCTCTAAGACAATCCCAAAGGACTCATGATGAAAAATGCTATCCACGTCTAGAGAAAGAACTGATGCAGAGTCTGAATGCAGATCAAAGCATACTATTTTTCACTTATTTTTTTCATGGTTTTGGGGGAAGGGGTTTTGTGTCTTCTTTCACAACATGACTAACATGGAAATAAGTTTTGCATGACTGCACATGTGCAACCTATATCAAATTGCTTACTGTATTAGGGAGAGGGCGAGTGAAGGAAAGGAATTTGGAATTCAAAATTTTTTGAAAATGAATGTTAAAAATTTTATTTAAAAAAAAAAAAAGAGTTGTATGTCTTTTAACCTCGACAGCTATGGTACTAACAATGACTAATGCATTTGACCAAGCTCTGGTACCATTTTTTAGTCATTTAAAAATACAAAGAACCTGACAAAGAAACCATTATGTTCATAATATATCTTACATTCTTTAGGCTGGACAGATGAGCAACTCCCCAGATTCAATAACTGACTCGTAAATGTAGACTGCAGTACTGTTTCCTTATACCACTGGTCATTGTGTATAGTGACATCTGGGAGAAAAGAAATCAAAAGAACATCAATTGAATGCATTTAGAACCCTTAACTACTTTTCAACTACCTTTCAAGATATTTGTTCTTAATCTATTAGGATCACATCTGAGCATTATTTTAGGTCACAACCCCTCTACTTTGTCCCTCATTCTTTTTTTTTTCCTTTCTTTTGTTCTAGTCTGATGAAGAGGTTTTTTGCCAAGGCTAACTCCTTCTCCTTGGGTCCTTGATCCTACTCCCTCCCATCAGTTTTGAGAACTGCCCCTTTGATCATTCTCTATCTTTAATCTTTAGTTTTTCTTTATCCCTTGGTTCCTTCTTATGCCTAAAACAACCAAGTTCTCCACAATCCTTAAAAACAAACAGGAGCAGCTAGGTGGTGCAGTGGATAGAGCTCTGGCCTTGGAGTCAGAAGGACCTCAGTTCAAATTCAGTCTCAGACACATTACACTTACTAGCTGTTTGACCCTGGGCAAGTCACTTAACCCTGATTGCCTCACCAAAAAAAGCAAAAAACAAACAAACAAACAAAAATTTGTCCACTGCTAAACCAGACAGCTTTTTCACAAGCTTCATCTTACTCGACTTTTTATGTGGCTTTTAATACTGTTCGCTTCCTCCTTCTCATAACAAACATTACCTATTCTTTGCTGGTTTTCCTCTTTCCCAACTGTGACTTGTCAGTTTCCTTCACTGGATCATTATCCATCTCCAACCTGGGGAGTGGCTCTATTCTGAATTCCCCTCTACATCTTCTCTAGGTGATCTTACCTATTCCTATAGGTTCAATGAACATCTCAATGTCAGTGACTTTCAAATATTTACTATCCATATCTAAGATTCCTCCAGTAGAGATGTCACTTGTAATACCCCATGGTGATCTTTGTCAGGATCAAATGAAATAATGTATAATTCTTTGGAAACCTTAAAGAGGCTATATAAATATAAAAGAGGCTATTATAAGTAATGTTTACTGATTAAAATTCAAACTCCTTTGCCTGGGATTTGAGACTACACCAGGCTACCTTTATATTCTTATCTGACTAGGCTGCTCTTTTGCCAGAACATACCCTTCACCTTTCCCATCTCCATGCCTTTTCTTTAAAAACAAAAATACAAAACATGCTATTGATATCTTTTGCCTTTATATCACAGTTGTTTTGGGGGGAAACTCCCTCCAGAATGAATCTTCTTTTGTAACCAAGAAAAGCAAATTAAGCAAAAACATCAGACACAATGATTTCAATCTGATAATACGTACAACACTCTGTCCTGAGAGCCCCTAGTTTCTCTGCTAAGAAGGAGTTACATTTCATGATCTGTTCACTAAGACCACAGATTTTTCAATTGGTTGGAGTTTTGCTGCTTTGATGATTTAAGAAAAAAATTTACATTGTTGTAGTCATCATGTATATTCTTTTGGTTTTGCTTCTCTTATTCTGTATCACCTCATACAAATCTTCCCAATTCTATGCCCCTTCTCAAGCTTTCCAGGACGTACCAAATGTTTTCCTTTATCCCTTTATGTGCAGAATTTCAAACTATCCCTTATAATTCTTCTCAAATGCCACACCTTATCTTCATTTATCCTTACCTGATCTTCCCAACAGGTAAAAACCTTGTCTCCTGCCCTTATATAGCCGTTGGTGTTGAAACTATCTAAAGAACATATGTAGTATTATGTGTTAACTGTTACCTGCGTTTGTGTTTTATTCCCCTACTCTATGGGCTCTATAGTGGCAGAGACCATTAAAAATTTGTCTTTCTCCCAGTATTAAGCATGGCTCTGCAAAGTAGGAACATAAATGGATAGAGAGGAATTACGTTCGGGCTCAGAAGAGAAAGATGATGGGAAATGAATCATGAAGTTCATATGGCTGGAAAAAGGTTTTTAGTGAAATAAAACAACTGCTAATACCACAAGGCTCTCACCTGTTAGTAAAATTATGTCTCCAGGAAATACTGTTAGCACACCAAAGGCAGTATCACGCCATAGCACAACCTTCTTCTTAATTTCTGATTGGTCAGTTACTGTAATAGTTGCCAAAGGAACTTGACAGCCAGAATTTGGTCCTGTTTTTACGTGTACTTCCTTCACATGACATGGATGTAAGGCCATAACCAAACAATTATATCTCTGGCTTTTGCAAATACAGTTTTTAAGCAGAGATGTTTTTTTTAAGAACTTGCCAAACCTAGATACATTTCTTTCAGGAGAAACTTTGGAAGAGATTTGATGGGCATCTGGAGAACAAACTGACTTAATCCTCTTGGGTCCCTGGAGGGATTCTGATACAGTGCTCGAAGGACCTGATTTATCTTCAGATGTTCGATTTCTTTTAATAGAAACTTTACAGAAAGCATTTTGTTGGGAACACATTTTTCTTGTGCTAAATGACTCAATACAAAAATCCTCTGTAGGCTGTTGTTCATTAGGAGTTTTGAAAAGTTCTTGTGATCCTATATTTTCTTTGGTTCCTTTGTTACAGTTTAAGGGAGTGAGGTTGCTTGTTGGCTCAGGACAATTAGGACTAAAAAGTTCAAGGGAACTTGCTTGATTTGGTTCATCCACAAAATTACTGAAATTTCCTAGTCTCATTTCCCTACAACTTTCCTTTTGTTCTGGTTTCATGCTTGTATTTCCTTTATTTGGAAAACTTTGTTCTTTATCCAGGCTTTGGGCTAGAAAGGCTATCTTGCTTGATGTCATAATACTAAGAAATTCAATGTCTGCTGATGTACTGAAGCTTGAGGTCTTCCTTATTACTCCCTTAGACTTTGGCTCATCTGTTGTTTGGGGAGAAAAGAATCCTGGATAATGGTTTACTGTCTCATGATTTTTTGATGGCATATGATCATTTTCTGCAATTTCTGGTTCTATATTAATCTGGTTAGTACTGCAGACCAAATCCCAGATATCAGAATAATCCTGATTTATTGGTTGGGAATTTTTTCTTAAGAGACTGTAGAAACAGGAATTTGATTCAAATTTCTTTTGCTGGTCTGTGATTTTATCATTTTCATTCACAGGATAATGACATTTTCTTTCATTTAAATGCTGTTGAACTCTGCTTTCAAATCCAGGCATTTGCTGATTATAGTAGGCCATATCAATTGTCATTGAAGGATCACTATTCTGGGATTTTATACACTGCGTTTCAGGAACACATGTTAAATAGTCATCATCACGCCAAGATCTAGTTTTATCAGAGTTCACTATGACATGTTCTTTAACAGGAACTGGATGACTTGCATGGTGGCATTCAAGATGACCACACCTGCATGCTTCAGCACTAACATTTAAAGAACAGTGATCATATAAAAGCTGAGTTATTTTCCAAGGATCAGCATTGGTTGCTGAACAAGTTTGTTCTTGTGATACTGCTGTATTTGATGGAATAATTGGTGCTCCAAAGAAAATATGGATTTGAGGTATTTTACTCATGATTTCTAAGGAAAAAATGAAAATTTATGAATGTATTCATTCATTTAATATTATATTAATTTCACAGTCACAAAAGTAAAAGACAATTAACTATAAATTTAAAACAATAGTTAAGATTAATATAGAGAGTTTTAAGGTTTGCAAAGTATTTTACAAACATCTCACTTGACCTCAACTGAAATAAGAATTTTAAATTAACCTATAGTACCTATTGAGACTCTCAACTTTATTCCAATGTTCATATAACCATCCAACCAACATATTTATGCTTAAAAATAAAATAATCATTAATAATATTCATTTGGAGACTCTTGGTAAATAAAACACTGGCTTGCTACATTCGTCCTTCTTTGCTCGCAGTTTCATGATGTATACAACTCAATCTCACTTTAATAACAAGTTAGTTTTGTTTCTTTGTGTTTTTTTAACCACCAAATACATCATTTGTTTAATTAGTAGTATAAACACCTAGGCTATACACAAAGATCATTTATCTGGATTATTTATGATAAGCCAAATAGTTCACATGCTCTCAAAATATGAACCAAACCAAAAAGTCAAAGCTTTGCATAGATGTAATAATTGACTGATTGACTATTTCTAAATCCACATATCCTCAATTTTGGATTATCTGTTATCTTGTGTGCCCTTTCCCTGCTTAGAAATCTTTAGTGGATCCCTCTCCATTTCTTATGAGTTAAAGGATATGATTACTTGGCTCTTACCTGCCTTTCTAACCTCTGTTTCCCTTCACAAAATGTCATGTTCCAACCAAACTGAAGTCTTACCTGTTTCCTAAACTTTCCTCTCCATCTCTTGTTTCCTTGAATTTCAACAAACCATTTCCCATTCCTGGAAGGCATATTCCTAATTTTTAATTGCATGGCTCTTATACCCATTATCTCCCTATCTCTTGCCCCCTCTACCCTCAGCAAAATGTAATACAATCCTTGCAGTCAAGAAAAGTTTCATTTCAACCTTTTTATCCCCAGCACCTAGCACAGTGCCTTGCACATGAGAGATGTTTAATAATTGTGCTATAGAACAGAATTGTATTATTCATATTTTAATACCCACTTAGCATAATCAAGAGTTGGCTATTTCATTTAGAAAATTTTTTGATCTATAAATGTATGTAAAGTAAAAAATCAAGAATGCAAATAGGATTAATAATAGGAACAACATGAGTAGCACATACTTTTTATTATAACTTGTTTATGTGATTGTTTTTATCACAGTGACTATAGCATCTGAAGACAACAATATAAACTTTTCAAAATTTTAAGGAACTGTATGTAGAAAATGCTAAGTCTTCGTAAAAAGTAAAAACTGTAAAGGAAGGAATAGGTAATCAATTCCAACCAAATGGAGAGAATAAACTTTGAGAAAAATTAAACTTTAAGAATTCTAACTTTGCTTTCATATTCTTTAACCTTGATATGTTGCTGAAACAACTCCATGCTCTTGAATCTTTTCAGAGTAAATGTTTGAATATGAGAGTTGAGAACACTGGTGACAGCTGTTACTATTTTATTTTGGCAGTACTAATAATCGAGACAGGTTGCAATTTTCATACAAATGATTGAGATGTCATCAAAATTAGTGAGGCCGGATGTCAGTTTTTGACCTGCTACAAGTCAAGGAACAATGAATGGCTATTAAATACTGTCTTTGATTACTGCACAACTTCACATCCACGACAAGAAGTTCAAAGCTATTCTTCATCAAATAGCTTTATTTCTAAAATGTGATTTCCCTGTTTGGCCATTAGAGGTCACCAAAGCACTCAATAAAAGTCTTCAAGTTCAGACTTGAAATAAAGGCCCATAGGACCATGGCCGAGTTGGAAGGTACACAACAACAGCATCGAGTGCTTCATTTCACAGGTGGAGAACAAAGGCTCGGAAAGGTCAGTGATTTGTCCATGGTCACACAGACAGTAAGTAGCAGAACGTGATTCGGACCAGGTCTTCTGAATCTCAAATCTAGCAAACCTCCACTGTATTTCACTGCCTCAAGTGTGTCACTTGATGCTAAATATTTTATTTGGGGTGGGGCCGTGTACAAATACATACAACAAATACAAGCTACAGAACTCTACCTTAGGAGTTTCTGAAATTTTTTTTTGTAATGAAATTTTGATTAATATAGCAAGTGAAAAAGGTTTTTACAGGAAATGTCTTGCCATCAGGTATGCTTAGTTTATATTTTTCAAAGGTTAAAAGTTCTAAGGACTTTTAGAAAGAAGGGCAAACAGTACCATGATATTTTAACTACAGCCTTACTGTAGCCATCTACTAATTTTCCACTGGAATAGAGAGAGAGAGTTGTTTTTAACATGATTTTTATGACATGTCTCATCATGACATGTCCTGCCCAGTTTGCAGAAACTGTTAGATTAAGCTTGATAAGTCAACAGGCTTCAAAAGAGTATTACTAGTAATACTGTTCAAGATAACAAACAAAATAAAGATCCCAATAGAAAATACCTTTAAACCAGAAAGGATCTGATGACTTTATTTTTATTATTTTTAAAAGAGAATGATAAAAGAACTAGTATACTTTATCACATCTATAAAATCTTTATGAGAATGGCCTATACACTTGAAGTACCCTTGATGAAAACACGGAAGAGGAACAGCCAAGTTTTCATAGAGTATTTTCTATAGCATGTGATAATTTCATAGCCACACAATTGACTGAAAAGTATAAAGATTAAAGATCTCACTTTATTTGCTGTTTACTGATAACAACAAAAAAAATTTGACTGAGTAGAGACAAATGCAGCCTATGTGTCTGTGGATCATAGAACACTAAGACCTTTGAAGAGTCAAAATTGTGGGTGACCTAAAGGATAATGGAGAGTTGCATGTCTTACAGTTCATTACCAATGACTTCTGTGCAAGAAGTAGCGCAAGATATGTCATCAAAGACATGTATAAGCCGAAAAGGAGATGGGCTGGTTATGTAGTGAAAATAGGGGATAATATATGTATGGTCTAAGTGTTATACTTGTATTAAAGAAATATTATTTATATTTATATTAGATAAAGGGAATGCCTTGGCTAGATCTATTTGGAAGAATTTAATGCAACAAGATGAGAAGGCATGGATGGGTTATGAGCTATTCTGGTTGGAGTTCCCACATTAATGAGGGCAGATTTGTTATTTAAGTATTATGTAAGTATAATATCATTTATCTGGTCTCAGTTTAATAAACAAATGATTGTTTCATTTTTATGAATAGTCTCTTTCCTAGAAATATGGTAAGTAAGTGAAATGTTTATGGAACATTAGAGATCTACTGCAAGGTGGCATGGTAGAGTGCTGGGCCTGAAGTCAGGAACGCTCATCTTAAGTTCAAATCTAGCCTTAGTTATTTACCAGCTGTGGGACCCTGGGCAAGTCACTTAACCCTATTTACTTCAGTTCCTCATCTGTAAAATGAGCTGGAGAAGGAAATGGCAAACCACTCCAGTATCTTTGCTAAGAAAACTCCAAATGATGTCACAAAGATCTAGACATGACTGAAACAAATGAAAACCAACAATCCACCTTCTACAGTGACATCTTATAAAATTAACCAATGATAACAAGTGACCTCTTGAGGCCTCTCCTACATCTATTAAAACCTTTTAAAAACCTGTTCTATGGTTTTTACAATCTAGAAAGAAGGTTTAGGCAGAATGCAATGTAATTCAATTCGACAAATATCTATTAAAGTTCTATAAAACTCCCAGATCTCTCTACCCTACTAATGTTTTGTCCAAGGTATAATGACAAAAATGAAATAGTTCCTGACCTCAAGAGGCTTGTGCTCTACTAGGGGAGACATAACATGTACATAAGTAAATATAAAGTGTAATCAAAGTTAACAGAAACCATCTTTTAGAGAGTGCTAATAACGGGGAGGCCGGGGGGGGGGGGGATTCCAGCAGACTACTTCCTGCCCACTCCATGGTGAGTTGCCTGCACTCTAGTGTCCATCTCTGACCTGAACCTGGGCTCTCTGGACACTGGTCCCCTGAGTTTCAATGACAAGTATTCACCTTCTCTTGCCCAGACACAACATGCTGCTTCTTGGCCACCTCCATGCCATGCCACCAACTGCTAACCCTTCCCACTGGCATTGCCATTCTAGCTCTTAGAACAGTAAATAAATCAATATTACAATTTCAGGAAAGGCCCTATCGGGGAGTTGTAGGGTCCCTGCTTGCTGGCCCACACAACTGCCTCAGGAGAACCAGGTGACAACCATCTGAAGAGGGGCCATGTGCCAAGAATGGTGTTCCCCCCCACCCCCATACCTGTTTAGCAGGAATCAGCCACAGCAGTGCAGAGCCCAAGTGAGGAGGAGTTCTGAAACAACTCTCATCTAGCCCAATACCTAAGGAGCTCCATTGACCTGAGCAACTTTTGGCTTTTACTCAGGAAAATGCTCATGAATAAAGGTGAACCAGAACAAGCAGAGGATGTCCCATGACTGTTCTGAGCCAAAGAAAAACTGGACTGAAATACAGCATTCTTTGTAAGGTGAATACTACCTGTCTTCAAACAACCAATTACCAAGATTATTAACCATCCCAGAAATAAAGCAAATAATTTCCACAGAAGACTATGGATAGTTTTTTTTGAGGTAAAATAAACTTAATAGGTTGAATGTTAATGATGTTGGGGACAGAGAGAGAGAGAGAGAGAGAGAGAGAGAGAAAGAGAGAGAAAGAAAGAGAAAGAGAGAGAGAGAGAGAGAGAGAGAGAGAGAGAGAGAGAGAGAGAGAGAGAGCGCGAGCGCTTGTGACACAAGGGATCTTCCACAGATTTGCAAGGGGCTAGACCTCACGGTCTGATAAGCCCTCCTCTCTACCACTGCTCCAGCACACTATCCATCACTGGTTGACTCTTAGCGGCTGGAAAGAAGCCAGGACAGCCACATCTTCTCTCCTCTCTAGGCTCCACTCCTGACTCTCTGGACTTGCTCCACCATGTCTCAGGTGGAGACATGTAA